AGACAATGAGTGAAGGAGTCTCCATAAATCAAGAAGTCATCCATGAAGACTTCCATGATCTCTCCGACCAGTCGGTCGAAGATCGCCAGCATGCATCTCCGAAAGGTCGCCAGTGCATTACACAGCCGAATGGAATCCTCTGGTAAGCAAAAGTACCGAAGGGGAAAGTGAATGTGGTCTTCGCCTGATCCTCTAGTGCGATAGGAATCTCGAAATAACCAGACATGCCATCCAAGAAGCAATAAAACTCATGGCCAGCCAACCTCTCCAACATCTGATCAATGAAGGGTAGGGGAAAATGGTCTTTTCTGGTGGCATCGTTCAGGCGCTGGTAATCGATGCAGACTCTCCATCCGGTCACGGTCCGCATCGGGATCAACTCTTTTTTCTCATTCGGGATCACAGTCATACCGCATTTCTTCGGGACCACCTGAGTGGGGCTGACCCACTTGCTATCAGATATAGCAAAGATGATCCCTGCATCCATTAGCTTTACAATCTCTGCTCGGACCACTGCCTCCAAGTTGGGAGACAATCTCCGTTGTGGCTGCCTGACTGGCTTAACCTCATCCTCCATCAGCATTATGTCAGAGCAGAAGGATGGGCTAATGCCTCTGATATCTGTTATCTTCCACGCCATGGCCCGGGCATACTTCTGCAGCAGAGCCAACAGCCTTCTCTTCTGCTCGGGTGTCAGATCTGAGCTGATAATGACCGGGAGCTTAATCCCCTCCCGGAGAAATGCATACTCCAGGTGAGAGGGGAGGGGCTTAAGCTCCAGCTCTGGCAGCTCCTCCAATGATATAGCGATCCGGGACGAGATAGGGATCGGCTTGAATGGTTTCTCTTTCCCCTCGATCGCGGCCTTGTCTAGCTCCACGAGTTGCTCCTCCAGCTGCACATCCTGTGATGCCTGTTCCCCTAGCAAAAGACAACGCTCGAGGAAATCGTCAGTACCCGCACTCGTGATGGCGAGTGTGGTCTCAAAATCAGCAACAACATCACAGTAGTCTAGATCATCATGGAGCTGGGGGTGTTTCATATTATCATAAACAGAGAAGGTGATTTGTTCACCCCCAGCTCGCAAAATCAATTTCCCATCATTCACATCAATGAGCGCCTTGGCGGTGGCGAGAAAAGGTCTACCCAATATTAAAGGCACATCCACATCCTCATTTATGTCCAAAATCACAAAATCAACAGGATATGAGAATGGCCCTACTGCGACTATCAAGTCCTTTGCAATACCCCTAGGATGCACAATGGAACTATTAGCAAGTTGAATGCTCATCCTTTCATCACTAGGTTCACCAAGGCCTAGCTTTTTAACAGTTTATATGGCATGACATTTATGCTAGCGCCTAAATCCGCCAAGGACTTCCCTATATGCAAACTACCAATCATGCAAGGGATAGTAAAACTCCCTGGGTCTTTTCGCTTCACTGGTATTTTGTTCTGCAAGATGGCAGAACACTCCTCGTTGAGCATCACCGTTGACAGCTCCCCAAGCTTCCTCTTGTTGGTGAGGAGATCCTTCATGAACTTGGCATACTTGGGCATCTTCAATAATGCCTCCACGAAGGGCATGTTTATGTTTACTTGCTTCAGCATTGCCATGAACTTGGCAAACTCAGTCTTCAGTCGGTCTTTGTGCAACCGAGTAGGAAGGGGAAGCTGCGGTACATACTCCTTCACCACTGGTTGCGGTTTAGGAGCAGGCACCTCAACCTCCTTCTCCATTTCCTCCTCATTAGCTGGAAGTGCTGAAGCAGGGGTCTCTCTCTCTTGTGCCCGAATAGGTGGATCAGCAGTCATCTTGCCACTCCTGGTAGTGATGGCCTTGCAGTGCTCATTTGGGTCCTATGGATGAGGGATGGTCTGACCAGGTAGAGTACCAGGAGTCCTCTGAGCTACTTCCTGGGCCACACTCCCAAGCTGGGTCTGGATGTCCCGCAGCACAGCCTGCGTGTTTCTCTGGCCAGCTTCTAGCTCCAAGAATTTACCTGAAGCTTTCTCCTTGAACTTATCGATATTATTGAACTTGTTTTCACTGGGGGTGGCCAGAGAACCCACCAGATCTCGCAATTCCGCCATCGGGTCACTCTGCACTGGGGCTGCGGGTGTTGCCCCTGTCTGATGAAATGGCCTCACCTATGACTGAGGTGGAACTGGCCCCTGTCTGGGCGGGTAGAGAGGCTGCTGCGGCTGCTGAAATTGCCCTTGTCTGGGCTGGTAAGGAGGCCTCTGGAAGCCAGGTGGTCCCTGGGGGACTGGTGGTCTAGAATTTGCCCCAACCCAGGAGAAGTTGGGATGTTGGCGCCACCCCTCGTTGTAAGTGTTGTTGTAGGGGTCGAAGCGCCTGGCATTGCCTATGAAGCCCACCTGCTCCTGGGGAGTAGACGACTCCCGCATCACCTGACAGTCCTCCACGGTGTGATGGGAGCTCTCACACCACTAGCAGTGCATCGCCTGCTGCTGTCATGTACCTGGAATCATCCCAAAGCGGTCGATGGCTGAAACAAGTTTCGATACCACCTGCACCAAATCAGATGACTGGATGGCTACAGCATGCACACCCCACCCTGGTGCTCGTCTTTATCTCTTCAAAAAGTTGATTCAGCTGTGGCGTTGTTTTGGTGAGCATATTCCCGCCACAGACCGAGTCAATCAGCTGCTTTTCTTCCGGGAAGAGGGCATGGTAGAAGGTGCCCACCTTGAAGGCGTCGGTAAAACCATGGTTGGGACACTTGAGGAAGAGACTGGTGTATCTCTCCCAAGCATCCCGAATGGTCTCATCTTCGTCTTGAACAAAGTGGGTAATTTGCTTCTGCAGGTCCGCCCTCTTGGACGGAGGATGGTAGCGAGTGAGGAACTTGTCCGCCAGGTTGGCGAACGTGGTGATCGAGCCTAGAGGTGGAGTGTCTAGCCACTCCTCAGCTGGATTGCATTGGGTGGGACCCCATTGATCTTGATCCCATCGATGAGCTCGTGGAATCGCCTCAGGTGTGATCGGGGAACCCCTCTCCCCCCCCCTGCCACGGAATACCACTGAACCGTGCAGCATGCTGATGACAGAGGTGCTCACCTCAAAGTTTCTCGCTGGTACATGAGGGTGCTGAATGGGCGACCTCATGTCCGCGGCTCGAGCGGTCCAGTAATATTCCATGGTCTGCTCCTCGGGAAGGACCACATCATGGTCCTGTGGGTCACCCATCTTTTCTTCCTCGGTGATTTGCAGCTGTGCTAGAGCCTCCTCCACAGCCAGTCGCGCCTTTAGAGCCCGCTTGAAGCTCCTACAGGTCCGTTCAAACTCTTGGTCTAATGGTAGTAAATCCCCCGACTGGCTACGGGTCATGCACTACCTGCACACAATCAGCAAAAGCAACCCGTGAAGGCACACAGGTGGAAGAGAGAAAATGCAGTAAAGAAAAAGCTAGAGTAACAAACTTTCACGTTTCCCCAATACCCTAGAGGGTCCCCGGCAACGGCGCAAAAAACTTGACACGCTAAAACACAACACCAAACTGCGACCAAGTGTAATCGCAGTCCAGAAATGCAGTAACATGCAAGCTCTAATTGTCAACCCGGGGTCTAGATCTACTGCCTACTCCGTGAATATCTATTATCTAGCAAACTAAGCCGAGTGATTGTGATTTTAACTAAAATCAGAAAGAAAGCAGGAAATGGTTTGGTTTTCTAAAGCAACGGAAGAATCACTCGGGAATGAGTCCCCCTAGCTCCTTAGTTAGGTCACAGTTGTAATTACCCTGGGTTGATTAAATGTTGATTAAACTGCGGAAGATCCGACAGTAGCTTGGAATCTCTTAAGCTGACCAAGCCCTCTCAGTCCAACTACCCGGCAAACGACTAGTCTTCACCGGGATAGAAAGCTAAGGCTATGAATGCACAACTCCACTATTGGAATTGGATTCCAGTACAAAGCAGTAAATCAATTAACTCTCGTATAATCAATCTACCACTACCGATTGATAAGCTCTAGCAACCTAATCAGATTCTATCTATCTCAGGTTGCAACAGAAATCAAGAAAGATGATCAGACTTCAATTGACTCAATAAATCATGCATCCATCAATTAAAATAAAATAGTATAACAATCCCAATTCATTACAATCAAGATCCCTAACACATGGAACTAGGGTTCTTCATACCCGAGTGAGAGAAAGTTCTACTCCATAGAGAGAGAGAGAGAGAGGAAAACAGAAATCAGAGTAGTCATACTCATAAAGATGAGGAAAATCTGCTCTGGGATGTCAATCTTCACTCCTGGGGATGCAATCTGGGCTTCAATGGTGAGAAATCCACTCCAAATAGCTCCTAGGGTTTGTTCATCGCACTTTCTCTCTCTAAAACTCTGTTTTTGCTCCAAAACGTCGACTCCCTCTCCTTTGGCTTGAATCTGCCTAAAAAACATCTGCCCGTAATTCGCCCAAAACGCGCGTTTCACTTAACACTGATGAGAGGAATTACAGTCGTAATTACCCAATTACTGCCAATATTTGTGGAATTACGACCGTAGTTGCTTTGACTCTTGCCCGTAATTTGCTCTGCAACAGGAATTCTCAAGAATTTGGCTCGACATTGCATTTACGGGCATGACAGAAGCAATTACGCCCGTAAATGGGTAGGGGATGGCGGTAATTTGCATCTTGAATTGCCAACTGACCTCCAAATGACCCGAAACTTGCGCCTATGCACCTCTTTACTTGCTAGGACCTAAAATACGATTAAACAACACAACCTAGCGTAAAATAGGCAAAGGAACAACAAATTCGAGCTAAATTGGTCAGGAAACAAGAGTGAAAACATGTGCAAATACGACGCTATCACTGGTCGAGTTACGATGGTCTCTCACCGTTCTTTTTTTTTTATATATTGCTCACGAAGCAAAGATGATTGCTTCATCGGATCTCGGTTTTCCTTGTCATTTGAGAACTAGCAGTGGAACGGGAACTATGTAAATTTTGGTGTTGTTGGGGCCTAAAACTAGATCAGATTTTTTCCCCAATAGATTCCTCCAAAAAGAGGCAATAGAAAGATCATTGTTCGAGACAATCTATCTACTACGTAACCAAGTAACATAGTCAAACCCCGCCAGTAGATGAGACGACAAAATCAGAGCTTTACGTGCTACCGAATGAGCAACTCGTTGTTCGAATGCCCTACAAAAGTCACAGAAGCTACTTGAACTTCTTGCATAAGCATAACGATTTCCCGGAGCAGAATACCAATCTTGGAGTCACAATAATCGTCGGCTCTGCATTTGTCAATCAGAACCTTGGCATCCCCTTGAATCTGAACATTAGTCAAATGGCGAACCTTGCATTCTAGAAAACAATTTTGGAGCGCCAAAGCTTCTAGAACATAAGGGTATGCGCAATCGTCGTACAGTTGTGCCTTTGCTCCTACGATATCACCGGAAGCATGTTAAATGACATAAGCTGCCGAACCTACCTCCTCAGCATCAAATGAAACACAATACTCTCCTCGTCGAGCATAGGGTGTTGGGATGAATACAGTTCGAAAGAGATGGCACTAGTCGAAGAGGATTGAAGAAGAGCTCTGTCATTCTCCGCAACTTGGTGTTTCCATTGAGCTGCAAGAGTCTCAATTCTGACCTGTTTGTACTCATGATAAATTGAGCACCAGTTTTTCCAAACCCTCCATAACAGAGAAACAAATTGCAAAACAAGGTAATCCATATCCGACCCTGTTTCTTTAGATAAAGAGTGTCGAAGAAAACCAATGAAAGAACCTTTATGCCCTCTCCCAAGATGCCTATGCAGTCCCACCATCTTCCATAATCGACGAGCTGTTGGACATCGAAAGAACAAGTGCTCTATTGTTTCTTCTTTGTGACCACAAACTGGGCAAATCGGAATAATCTCCATCCCTCTAGTTACTAAAGCTTCACGAGTGGGAAGGATACGATGCACACATTGCCATAAAAAGAAAAGTAATTTGGGAGGAACCTTTCGACTCCATAACCAATTCCATAGGTTCAGATCCATGTAATCAATTATGGGTTTAGAAGAAGGAGGTTGTTGCTGTCAAAATGCAAGATGGAAAGCAGACTTAACTGAAACTTACCATTGGGCTCATAATGCCAGATTAGAGTATCTGGAAAGTTTCTATGCACAAGGGGAATCCGTTGGATTGAAGAGATGGACTCCGCCTAGAAGAAATGATGCAACGCAGCCAGATTCCAAGTTCTTGAACCAGGATCAATTAAAGCAGACACACATAAGGAAGGGTTAGCAATACCTGTAGGAGATTTAGGGGTCAACGGAGGATTGGTTGGCAGCCAGTGATCCTCAAAAGCTCGAATGCTCAACCCATCATCCACCTGCCACCTAAGCCCCTCCTTAAGAAGTGCACGACCGAACAAGACACTGCGCCATCCCCAAGATGGGTTGCTTCCAACCCTTGCACTCAAGAACTCCCCAGATACTCCAAAATAACGGGATTTGTAAATCCTTGACAGCAAGCTAGTAGAGTCATGAAGAACCCTCCAAGCAACTTTGGCAAGTAATGCCTTATTGAAACATCCGAACTCCCGATACCCTAATCCTCCATCTTGCTTTGGTAAACATAAAGCCTTCTAAGATCGCCAATGAATCCGTCATTGTCCTTGAGTCGCGCCCCACCAAAAGCGAGCCATGATAGCATTCAGACAATTGATAAGTGGTTGAGGTAGATGCCTCGGTTTGGATTTCTCTATGGCCCTCTGTCAATTGGTTTTGGGGTTTGAGCCCATTCTTACTGCCAACCGCCCCCCACTCTTGGATTACTAATTTTTTTTTAATTTGTCACTAAAAATACCAAACGATACAAAATACATTATAATTTAATCATTAATATATCAAATAATTATATAATATATATATATAATTATAATTTTTTTGGATTAGTAAGTTGACCCAACCATTTTGATACCCGTAAAATATATTACATTTTAGCCATTAAGATATCATCATATATTTACAGGGTCGGTTAGCTTGACAACCACCTATTAATTATAGTTATTTTTTATTAAATTCATGTTGCATTTAATAATTTTTGAGAATTAAAAACTCATATTAATTACATTTCTTTGTTTGTGCTGATACAACTACCATTGCACATGTTCACTAATACCATTGCACATATACAACTACCATTGTACATGTACACGAATCTACCATTGCACATGTTCACTAATACCATTGCATAGATACAACTACCATTGTACATGTACACGAATATCATTACACAAAAAAGAAATGTAATTAATATGAGTTTTTAATTCGGATGAATTACTAAATGCAACACAAATTAATTATCTTAAAAACCTATAATTAATAGTGGGTGTAGTCATGCTATCTCACCCATACATTTACCTAATATATATTTCAAATAAGATAAAATTAGGATAATCAGGTTGCCTGGTGGAACCATTTAACCCTTTTAGTCAAATGACTGAGTTAATGGTTCATTCCAAATTAATAAGCTTGATAACAAGATAAAAAAATTATAGATAAGATTCATCCAGCCCACGGGCCAGGTAAAAATTACTATACAATATTATTAAACACCTCTAATTCTGGATATTACAAAGTGATTCCCTACACAAAGGGCCAAAATCCCAATGCGTTAAATGGGTCAGGGAAAATATAAACAGGAAGAAAGTGTCAACTGTTGAGGAGGGAAGGATAGCTAGGCATGCATGGATTAATATTGTCGTGCCCAGAGTACGTAGTAGTTACATATATCATCTAGCACCCTTTTGGGTTCATGACTCCTGAAATTACAGGCTTAACGTTCTCACAAACCGCCTGTCCAACACCTCCTTCGTAGGTGATGTCAACATCGCACATTTGTACATTTTGGCAAGGGTGAGAGCTGCTGCAGATCAACTGGATGATCTCCTTGCACTTGGAAGTTCCCTTCACGTTCTTGAAAAACACGTCACTGATCTGAACCTTTGATGGACCCTACATATGCAATAACAATATTCCTATAAGCTGATACTGATTTCAGTATTCACAAGGTCTAAGAGCACATATACACATGCACCTTAGACTTGCATGCGCCATCGGGGCAGTACATCTGATCAATGATTATCGGGTTGTCGACGTTTTCTAAGATGATGTCTTCAAAATGGACGTCAGTCAAGGAGGTAGCAAACATGTCGGGCCATGACTTGATTCTAATCCCATTGTCGGAGTCGGCAATGGTGCAGTTCTGAATGGTGATTGACTTGAGCGGTGTCTCGGTAACGTACTTGCCAAGGCTGCCAATGCTGATGCCATGGCTAGGACCGCACTTGACGTTCCTGATGGTGATCGTGTCGAGGCCATCGGCCATGGAGACGCAGTCGTCACCGGTGGCGATGGAGGAGTCCGTGACAGTGATGCATGAGGATCTACTTATGTGGATTCCGTCGGTGTTGCGGCTATCCGCCGGAGCAATCATGTGCAGCTTGGTCAGGGTCATGTTCTTCACGTATAAAGTGCTCATGTGGAAGAACTTGCTATCTTTGCTGGTCAGTCCCTCTACCCACCCATTGTTGATGTTCTGGAACCTCATGTTCTGCACACACTCACACACAAAAATCGAAGAACCAATTTGTCTTAATAATTTTGGTATTCAAATTTGGCTTGATCCAGAAACTAATGTATAGAAATTTACATAACCATACCGGTGCACGATCACCCTTTTTCTCCCAACAGGTGCCTCCTTGGCCATCCAGAGTGCCGGTACCGAAGACCTTGACGTCATTCACATATTCAACGACGAGCCAGTCTTCACCCTTAATGACAGAGGGAGCCTTGAGGTTTCCATTGATTTCAAGCTCGATCTGTGCCTTGCATGGACCAGCTAAGTTCGTAACCCCACATAGGTAGTCTCCTGGTGGGATCACCACTTTAGAGGCACAGGTTGACGCGCATGCATCGCACCAAGCCTTGGTCAGTGCCTGACATGGGACATCCAATATTATAGTCCAATGAATTGGTTATAATATGTGATATCATCGAAGAACTCTGTATTTAATATGAAAAATTCTCCATACCTTAGAAATATCAGTTTTCCCATCGCAAACTGCACCGTATTTTGTGATATCGAACACGCTTTGTTGAGGTAGATCATCATGAGCGTTGCTCATTCCTCCACAGATCATTACCATTACCAATAGTAGTGCTACTGTTGTCATTGAGGATCCCTTCATTTTTCAACTTGTAGCTTTTCTTCTTTTTGAACAATTGAAAATAACCCTCGACCCAAAATGAAAAATTAGAAGGTAAAAGAAAAAAATAAAGTTTTATTCCTTTGGCTAAGCCGAAAAAAATTGATTATTAGCTCAGCCAGAAACCACTCTTCAATACCGAAGTGGATTATTTAAGATACTAAATAATTATCAATTTATTTGATGAACTTGGAGTTGATGGTGACCTTATATATAAGGAGTTTGCTAGGGTTAATGTTGCCAATTTTAGTATTGTGCCGGATATTAAGGCTTGGGGTAGCTTTTGGTCCCATTAATAGTATATCCTACTTTTAGCTAATTTTTGTTTTTAGCTTTGACTTTTACATCCAATCAATAGCGACCGCTCCATTTGCAACGAAAGGTACAAATACAATGCATAGGTTATTTCTCCCTTAACAGTTCTTGAAGTTTTATTTGTCATTTGAAAGAAAATTTGGAAACTTTAATTTAATTACGAATGGTTCAAATTTTGGAAAATTGATTGGCAATTCTCAGGGAGAAATGAAATAAAGGTGGTAAAACTGAATGCAGATGGGAGTTTGACTTTCGAGACCCCCAATTTCTCTTATTTCAACTTTGCTAGCAGACATATGAATGTAAGTTTGCTTTTATAAATTTACAGCCAAGTTATTAAAATAAACCTTTAGAGCTAGTTGCGGGAAAGTAGCGTATAGTAAGAAGATGATTTTGAATTTGTAAGGGTTATAGGTAAAATATGTTCCTCTATTATACAATTTTATCAAATATGCTACTTTATTATTTTTTAGGGCAATGACTATTTATTAACCAAACATTTTGTACTTTTTTTTTATTATCCAAACCCATCGAAATACTAAGAATTAGTGAAATGTTAACTTCCAGTTAGCAATTTTGTTATTAATATTGACTTGACAACATGACACTGGCTTGGAAGAGACACACGAATGTCAACATTCCAAAATTTTAGTATTTTAACTAAGAAAATAGTTACAAAATTATTAACGACAACGTAAAAATGGCTAATATGTTGATCCATTACAAAAGATTTGACTAATTAATAGCATTTTGATAGGTTTGGATAATATACAAGAATCTGAAAAAGTTGGGATAAAAAATAAACATTACTCTATTTTTTAAATAAAAAATGCCCCTAAACTTTGGAAAAACTATTGACTCGTCCCGAAGATCACAATAAAATTCTCAATTAAGGCCCAAGTATAAACCTTAATTGGGTGCAACATATGGAAATAAATTCAAATATCAACCCGGCCGGTCCATGTACCCCACTTGGATTGTTTGAAACATTATCTAGTGATTGGTTGTTTGATTGAAAACTACGTTCTACTATTAAAGCAATTGTAAATGAAATTGGTTTTGACTCTTAAATGAGAAGGATTCACCCGGGTTTAGCCCCCCTTAACTCGCTACCATGACTTGTCGGAATGACTGAAAATGTATGGAGGAGGTGATTGAGAACCTTAAGTGAAGTGTAGCTAGTGATGAAACATCACTCTCTCGGTCCCTAGGCCAAGGAATTCGGATTAAGCTATCAAGGTAGCTCTCTTGGCCTAATCAACTATGGACTACCAAACCTTCACTCTCGAATCGGAATTCGGATGACCAAAACACAATCAACCTAGGTGACGACACAAACAAGGATGGATGCCCTACATTAACCTAGATAGGAGACATGATATGCCTAAGAAACCCCAATAGGTTAGAATGGCAAATAGATTGATAGGCAAACACACAATACAATCTTCCATGAAAATACCTCCAAATTCGTATTAAAACACACCCACACATAGACAATCATTCCATACAATCAATCACATGGTAGAAGTTAGGGTTCACAAACACCCAAGTGAAAAGGGAAACTACTCCATGCTAGAAGAGGGAAAAACACAAGGAGAAAGAATAAAAAAACCATCATGAAGATGCTTGAATCATTCCTTGTGTAGAAGAGATCTTCATTTAGGGAAGATTTTCCCAAATTCTTGCTTTGGAATGAAACCCTAGCTTCTTCTCTCTTCTTGCTCGTCACTTTCTCTCTCTAGAATGCTAAAGAAGAAGGTTTTCTCACTCAAGATCTCCTCATCCTTTTCCTTCAGCTCAAACCCCCCCCCCCCCCCTTTAATACCCAGGTCGGGCTCAAATCACGGTCCCAGATCACGATCGTGAACTCTAAGCAGGGACCGAGATCTCGGGGCAAAATGTGCCGCATCACTAACTCAGTTCAGGGTCTCTGGCTTGGGTTCACGGTCTTACAACCGTGAACTTGCTTGAATCAAGTGAGAACCAAAATGTCTCTAGACACCTAACGGTCCACAGTTTGCGGCTCCAGTTCACGGTCTCCCTGACCTCGAACCCACTGCTTCCACTGTGATCTGCTACTGCCTCCATCATTTGACCCGATTTTCGCCTTTTCGTCCAACTTTCGACTCTGGGGTTGGTTCCACCTGCTATAGACCGAAATACACAAAAATGAGACAAAACCCAGCGTAAAACCAAACCTCCCATAGTAAAAATGCCTCAAAAACTAAGGAATCCCGGGGTAAAAATTGTACAATTAAGCCCAAATCAATTATCAAACATGCCCTTTTGTTAAAATTTCACCAAAGTCAACCACGGTCAAACCTTGGTTTAGGCTACCCAAATGTCTAAAATATTCTTAATAATTTTACTTTACAATTTTTTTGTTAGTTTTGTATAGCCAAAGATCTCTAATAATTTCACTTTAACGAGAGCTAGAGATATAAATCATGGGTAAAACGGACAGTTTTCCTCTCATTTGCCGATGTCAGGTAGTCTAACTCTCGGTTCAACCATGATGTGGGATATTTTAATAGAATTTTTTTTAAAAAGGCATGGGTTAAATTGCAAGTTTGGTCACTTGAATTGCTATAAAAGTTCACATTTGTCACTAAAATTAATTTATTGCATTTATAGTCACTCAAATTAGTTGCATAGTCTAAGTTTGATCACTGGTCGTTAGTCTCCATTAACTTTTATTGAGGTGGCAGTCAACTCTCATAGTTAACCGTTAAATAGGTGACGTGGCAATTAAAAAATAATAAATATTAATCTATTAAAAAAGCATCTCATTATTATAATAATTAAAAAAATAAAATTTCTGAACACCAACATAGCTTCTTCCACTCTATCGCGACATTGCCGACATACATGTTTCCCATATCCTCTTTTTGAGTTAAACCCATTCCAAGTTCTTCTCTTGACCACAAGGTGAAATTGTTCCAGTAAGCAAGACATGATCAGGGTCAATGCCTCTCTTATAGTTTCAATGAACATAGATATTGCTTCTAACCCTTGAATTCCTCCGACTTTACCCCGATATGATTGTATTCCATGACATAGTATAGTGGCATCGTATACCTATAACCCAATTTGTAGCTGAAATGATTTCTAGTACTATTTCAATCCGTAGGCGACAACCTTGTTAGAACATTTGTATATGTGATATTTGTATATCAGATAATTAGTTCCTATCCATTTCATTGTTTTGATACTCCAAATTCACTTAAAAGTTAAAACCCATGCATTTTTGGGAAAAAATCCAAAACTGTTTAATTTTTTTTTTTTTTCAAAACTACCACCCAAACTGAAAAAATTCCAAATCTACCACCATAATTTCAAAACCACCTGGGGAAGGGGCGGTTATTACAAAAACTACACTACGAAGGGGCAGTTTCTCTTGGGGCAGCCCAAAACCGCTTCCCAATGTGGCGTTTTTGCTAACCGTTGGATAAGAGCGCGATCCAACGGCGAGACCGCCTGCCAACTCAGCGGTTCGCATCTCCCACTGATAACCGCGTCTCTGGGCGCGGTTTGAGCCTGGGAAAAAGGAAACCGTGTGCTGGGAGTGCGGTTTGCGTTGGAGGAAAATTACGAAACCTCCCCCTAGCCAGGCGGTTCTCCTCCTATATAACCCCCCTCATCCCTCTTATTTTTTCACACCAAAACCCATTATTCTCTCTCTCTCTCAGTTTATCTCTCTATCCATCCCCTCTCCACCAAAAAACCTTGGAAATAGTGGTCTGTTGGTTGCGGCTCAGTCCGATCTGCCATCAAAAACTTTTCTTTGATTTTTCATTCAAAACCCGTCGAATCTCTGTCTGGGTCATGAAAAAATGGCCGATTTTTTCGAACAGAGGGCATTTACTATGATGACTTTAAAGCGGTACGTACTCATTTTACCTAAATTTTGTTGTTGTTGTTGTAATGATTTTATTTAATCTATATACTAATTGATTTATGTTGTTGTTATGCTATAATAGGTTGGGGAGGATGTTGATATCTACAATCAAAGATATATGTTGATCAAGGACCGATTGATCCGACTGTGTTATATGACCAAGATAATCATCGGTCAAGGGATGTTTGGAACGAGCACAAGGTACATATTATTTATCACCACTTGTCATTTTATATTTTGTTAACGTAATTTAGTGGTTTGTATAATAAATTTGTTAATTGTTAATCATATTAATTATTTTCAATAATTTAAATCAAAACAATGTGTCACTTAATTAGACTCTTTATAAAGAAATGCATGCCTAAGGAAATGGGGTCTTAAGCGATCATCATGATCCTCCCATTTCCTAGGAAAATTGAGTTCTAATCGATCCTCGGATCCCCTCTTTTCCAGTCCAAAAGATTGTGTTTCTAAGAAGATGTATACCTCTCCTAAGAGTCTTATGAGTGTACTTGTATTGCTTTAAATTATTGAGAACAATCAATACGAAGTACAAAATAATATATTTGATTTCATGTGTGTGTACAAAATTAATTTTATTTAAATTTTGAAAATGATATTCATTTTAGTTAATTATTTTAGTAAGCTTAACATGTTTGTTTTTTAAATGATGTATATTTCTTGGAAAAAAACCTTGATTTTATTAATTGATATTGTTTGTCATAATAGATTTATATATGTAAAAATTATAAACTTACAGTGAAAGTTAAATTCTTTGCTATGATGCACACCATATAGTCCGCTATAGTGGTACGACCAATGTGCTACCATGGAACGACCGCCTTAGGCACTTTAATGGGATCCAATTAGGCACTTTAATGGGATAAAGATCGATCGCCAACTCATCATGGCATTGGTGGAGATATGGCGAAAGGAGACACATTGCTTCAACTTTCGTGAAAGCGAGTGCACCATCACACTTAATGACATCGCCATCCTAACTGATTTGCCCATTGATGGCGATGTTATTTGTGTGGACTCTTCTCCGCCACCTAAAGTTGTTGCGAATATGAGCGATTGGCAGCATTTCATATATAATGCCACGGGGTTGGTACTGCCAGAAAAGGGAGACCACGATGCGTATGGTCATCCACCATTGTCCAAGGGCCAAGTATCCATCACTTGGTTGACAGTGGAGATCATGTGTAAGCACAACCCTGATGTAGGAGGCCTTCCCCTCACGGAGAAAAGTTCGGAGCGTGATAAAGAAATTTCTGCACGTTTCTACATCCTCGGCATGATTGGAGGAGTTTTCTTCCCAAAAAAATCCAACAACTTAATCAACAATGCATGGTTGAAGATCATCTTTGGTGATTGGAATGATATGGGGAACCTGAGCTGGGCATCTGCTTGCCTAGCTCATATCTACTGCTCCCTCTGTAATGCAAGTTGGAGAGGCGGGAAGGAGATTGATGGGGCCATGTTCATCGTCCAATTTTGGGCTTGGGAGCATCTGCCATGGATTGCGCCGAAGGAAGACCTCAACAACGAATGGGGACCCAACCATCCCCTACGTCATGAAGCTTATGGTTGTAGGTAAACATCTTCGATTCCACTCATAGCTCTCACCTTTTTTTTTACTAATTCAGTATTTTATAGTACAATTGTTAGTGTGTATTAACATTGTGTAATTTTCCATATGAATAGGTGGCTTGGTGAAACAACATGGGACAACCTAGTCAAGCATAAGCTGGAGGAGTATCGTAGGAGGGTGGATCACCTTTGGGAAGCAGAGGTAACCATCATAATACACAATTACTTCCTTTTCTATTTTGGACTTGCTTTAGTATGTTTATTGATGGTTTATTTGTTATGAACTTTTGTAGCTTAAGTTCGATCTGTATCCTAACCGCATCATTCAGCATCACATCCACAATTTCCCATTGCATCCCGGTCAATGGTGCACCCGACTCCCACTAATCGTCACAATATATTGGAGTGGCACTTGCCGGATCGATGCTTACAACAATTCGAATTTGAGCAATGCATACCATTAGAAGTCCCGGCGAGTCAGATGGCGTACCATGGGAAAGATGGTCGGCAAGGACCTAATAATTGGCCCAAGGAGTTCGAAGAATTTATCAAGTTGTGGAATAATAGGTCAGATCAGGACATTGTCACGGCCCCAGCTGTGGAGCGGATGGAGTATCATGACCCATAAATGGAAACGTATCAAAGACAATCGGTACGTTACATGACACTCGAAAGTGCGGCGGACGGAGCTTTGGTAAGTAATTCCATTATATTAATTCATTTATTTAGTTAGAGCATCAATTTTGTAGTCATGCGTATCATTACTATTTAGTTGGCTAACTTTGTTACTTTATGCGATTTAGGTTGATGGAATCGCGCGTATTCACAGTATCGCTTGTACTACGGATTCTTTGGCAAGGCGAGAGGTGGGGCTCATTCGTAGGATAGCGAACAGTCTCCTTGGCTGTAAGAGATCGCGCGCCCTTGACCATCATAGATACCTGCTGATTCCCCCTATGACTACTCCTCGGGTGACGCATGATGTCCCCATCCCGCCCCCGCCAGTCCATAGAAGGCCAAACAAGGATACAAGGGATCGACCTCACGTGCCCGGGATCAAGCCGATTGAGGCATTGTAGGTGCCTAATCCGTTGGAGGTGTGCCAAGGTGCAGGGTCGAGTACTCAGTACGATCCTCGACCGAGTTTCAACTACGATCCCCGGTCGAGTTTTCATTATGACCCTCGACCTAGTACTTTCTACGACCCCAATACTCAGTACGATCTCTGTCCGAGTTTCCACTATGATCCCCGACCGAGTACTTATCACGATGGCACACCCTCTGCTACTTGGCAAGATGGTTCATCCTCGTCTGCCCACCAAGACTTCTCTCATTTGCATCGACCTCAGCATCAATGGCAGACCACTCCCCACCGTATGAGCGTGGATGGGAATCGACCGCAACTCAGCTACTAGGCAACATCTGATGAATATACAAACAAAAGCGTAAAGTAAGAGTATATCCGTGTTGGTTGTTTTCAAACGAATTTGAGAAATGCAAGTACACTCATAAGACTCTTAGAAGAAGTATACATCTCCTTAGAAGAACAGCCTTTTTGACATAAAAAGGGGGATCTGAGGATCTCTTAGAACACGATTTTCCCAAGAAATGGGAGGATCATGATGATCCTTTAAGACCCCATTTCCATAGGCATGCATCTCTTTATAAAGAGTCTAAATAAGTGTTGTATTGTATTTAAAAGTATCTTTTTCCCAGTTAAACAAATATTACACCAATGAAATAGAACGCTTACCAGTCCACCATAGACTATCAGCAAGCTTACTGCGCTTGAAATGATGGTTCCAATTGCTCTTGAAGTGTCGTATGCACCATCTCTGCACTTCCAGACTGGATCCAAGCCTAAGATGGAAGCCCTAATCCCGACGTGGCAATCAGATATAATTATTAGGTTCGTCCGCCTGGTGACGTGGAGTTGAATTTTTCTGAAGAACCATCAATAGCTATCGGTATTCTCTCCCTCAACAATGTCAAAGGCTAACGGAAAGACACATTTGTTTGCATCTGCTCTGTTGGCAATCAGTAGAGTACTCTTGTACTTGCCGGTAAGGAATGTTCCATCCACTTGAATCACAGGAACACATAATGGAAAACCATCAAAAGATGGCTTTAATGACCAGAAAAGATGCTTGAAATGGCGTTCATTACCAGGCTCTAGCGGCTGAATTTCTTCATCTTGGTAGCAGGGGAAGAAAACGGTTCCAGGGTTAGACCCTTCCAATGCCAAAATCAATATGGGAAGAATGCATATGATTCTTCCCAATCACCAAACACGACGGCCATTGCTTTCTGCTTTCCATGCCACACCTTCTTGTAGTTAATAATATATCCATAAATACTAGAAATGTCGACGATGATGGTTTTAACCTTCAGGTTGGGTTGTTCCTCAATTAGATGCTTGATAGCCATGGAAACCACCCTGGATTTCAACTGTCGATGGTCTTGGGATGTTATGGATGACACACATGTGTGAGTGTTCACCGCACGGGATATGACCCAATGACCGACTCTCTTGCTACCCTAGCCTTGCATCCCTCGTGTTGATTTTGGCATCTAACCATGAGCTTCTTCGTGTCGGAATGAGTTGTGTGTCATTCAATACTCCGAGTCATTGCTTTAGTGGCAATAGCGTGCCGCACCTTATTCTTCGTGGCAAATTGTTGGCTCGTAAAGCCAGTGAGTGGACCCCATACTAGCACCTCTGGCGGCTTCATGTCGGCATCAACATACCAATCTTCATTTGGAATGTGATTGTAGTACGAGATAGGTACACGGTTGCGAGACACCTCATCACCGTCTGCGTCTGAATCTGGGCCAGAATCATTAGCACCTTCAAGAGGATCGAAGCTGTCTGCACTGACATCGCCTTCCTCTTCTTCATCCTCAGGGTCACTAACTGGATTTGGGTGGGCATCTTCCATCTGATCAAGATCATGAAAGGCACCTTCATCAGCTCTGTAATGGTAGTTGTGGTAACTACCGCCGCCTTGGTAGAAGTTGTACTCGGGTTGGTACTGATAGCCTTCTTGTTGGTTGTCATGGTACTGTTGGGCTTCTTCTTCATATGATGGGAAGGATTGATGATGACCTACATTTCCATCATGACACTCCTGGTATGAATGTGAGTCTTGGTACTCCTGGTGGGGATGATCTTCGTATAATCCACCCCCACCGTGGATACCAAATGTTTGGCCATCTCTAGAAGATCTCCACCGCCTTCGACTGCATCGGTGTAAACGAACATCTACGCTTGTTTAATGTTATTGGTGGTCAAAAATTGGACCATGGCATCAACGTCCTCCTGAGTGGTAATCAGGAATACCTCATTCCACAACAACCTGCCATGTCTGTTTGGATATCGATACACCATACGATCAACTCTTCTCGTGCCATCCATGCAGGTAACCTCAGTACACATTTGATTGAGCTCTTCAAGCATCGGTCTCGTAGCGACCTTCATTTTATAAAAATTGCCACCGACATAACGTACCCCCTTTTCCGGTCTCTTCCGTGTAACATGAACTTTTGGAATGCCATCTGCAATAAAATTGTTATTAAGTTATTACCATAAAATCATAAATCACAATAAAAAGTAATGAAACCGTAATTAAGTTATCCACCGTAACCCCGAGCATGCGGTTTGTGCTAGGGCAACCATGGGAAATACTTCCTCATATGGCGTTTTGCCCAAATAGAAGAAACCGTAGCCTCAGCATGCGGTTCCAGGAGAAACCGCTTGTTCACCGCGCGGTCTGAATGAGAACCGCTCCTTCGAAGTGCGGTTTTTTATTAATGGTTTAAGTGCTTCATTCCGAAAACTTGCGGAACTGCTGGCTTCTCCTGTGCCTGGGCTAATAGTTGTTGTGAAGGATATTGCCACGTCGGGGTTTCTTCCGGTGCCATGTGTACGAGTAGGAAGGTATCCACGTCAGATGGTGCGGTTGTACGTTAGGCATACTTCAGTTTCATTTTTCGTAACCGACTAGACTAGGGGCATGCAGATGTACAAATAGTTTGGATGTGGGATTAGTCACACACATATTTGAAATCAATTACTATCCAAATACTACACGCCATAATATTTGTTATTTGGTATTTGTACGAATTATTATGTGTCAATTAATTATAACTAGTTGTATTGTTGATGTAATATTTGCACTCAAATTTTTTATTTTACGAATTTGTATTATAACTCCATCTCTTTTTTGATTGGTCAGCCTGTGTGCATGCATGCATGGTCATCATCCACATGTTATATATATATATATATATGTGGGTAGTTTTTATATGTCATTTTAATATTATAGTGTGTTAAAAAGATGCACGGCGTCAATTACAAAATAATAAAAATATATATATTCATTAAACATGCTATACATGTTTTATATGGAAACCAACAAACAAACAAAAAAAAATTTGAAGACTCAACAATAATAGGGAACAAAATGACATATTGAGTATTGATAAGGATCTTGATAACTATGCTGGTTAGTAAATTTTTCTTTCTTTAAAAGGTTGATAAAAAAAGGAAAGAAAAGAATTAGCTTGGGATTTACAAAAAGGTAAATACAATATATTAGTCAAAACTATTAAGTAACAGGAAATAATAGCCATAACTATCGTAATACGATATACTAGCCAGTCGTTAATTTTCCATCCAAATTTCTGTTAACTGATGCTGAGATGGCATGCTAAGTTTTGAGTGGGAATTCGTTTCTGACATAGAAACTTATTAATTGTTAAAAGTAAAAAATAGAAGCGAGCGAGGGGCAACGTTGCACGACCTCGTGACGATGCATAATTGACTTTCTCCATCTCTGTTGGCTACTTTGGCTTCTTTCCCAACTTTCACCATGGCGCAAGTTGGCTACCACATGGGAGACAGAAAGATCTGATTTCCTGCACCGCCCAGTTCCCCATGAAATTTGCTTTTTCACATCTGCTTCACGAATCTCAAGATCACTTACAACATCTAATCAACGTGATGGCTCGCCCTAAGCAGTTACTGAAAAGGATTCAATTGAACTCCTTAGGGGTTTTTGCATGATCAAATTCGTCTGCATTACTCCCGGCTCACTCCAGTTAAGCAGAAGGACGAGATTTCGACGTCATAGTTTGTTCCTCTTGCTCCAAATTTAAGTAATTGGAGATGGATTTCAACGCTCATAGCGGTAATAAAGGTGTTCCACCGGCTAAGCGACAATGACGAAGGAGGACTGTGAGGGAACAACACTGATTCCAACAAGAACCAGAAAGTCTACTTCCATTGGCGGGAGGGCAAGTGCAACCGCTTCCCTTGCCCATTCCTCCATCGGGATTTTCCACCACCAAACTTTGTTGCAACTGCTTCTAAAGCCATCCATCCGGCCAAGCGGGGGTTGGATTTTCGCACCAAAAGCGATGGAGGGCGGGGTTTCAATCACCAAACCCACCAGCTCACCTACCCACAATTTAATATCGCCAGCGACCAGAATCTAGACAATAGTGCAGGCGACGATGGAGTGTGAAGGGTTGCTGTGGGAGAGGGAGTCGAGTGCGACCTCGGTGAAAGAGGAAGAGGAGGAGGGAAGACGGTCGGAAAGGTGGTGTGTTTGGGCAAGAAGAAGATGAGGGGAAAGCAGGGCTTTGACTCTCCATTTTGGTTTTGGTTTTTTATGTTTAAAAATTATAAATAAATATTAATCTGACGTGGAAGGTGATGTGGCTACTACGTGGCCATTTCCATTACAAAGTTAATAGCGATAATGGACTGTTTGTCATTCATTTATGTGTAACACTAGTTATGGCTAATAATCAGTATTTTCATAGTTGTGTCTATTATTAACTTTGTAACGGAAATGGTTGGGAGTTCTTCTACTACTTAGCATAGGAATGAGGGTGTTCAGTCATTAGTTGTTGGGAGCTCTCAACCTCAGCCAACTTAGGGAGTTCACAACAAAAAGCCTTCTCCTGCCTCTAGTAGGGAGGACAAGGAAAATGTGCAACCTACTGTGGATAAGGGGAAGATAGTATGGATAGATTCGCCTCAGGTTCCTCATTTTAATGGTAAAAAGGGAGGCAAAGATGGCAGGGGGCGTGGTAAAAGATGAAGATTATTACCTGGAATACTAGAGGATTCAAAGCAGATGGTGAATATACAACATTACTTAGGAAAATAAACAAATACAATATAGATATCGTAGCTTAATTATAGCATAGAATAAGAATCTAAAAAACAAATAAGTTGATTCAGTAGTGGTTTCCTGATTGGGAGTCAAAAGTTAAGCATAATCAAGTAGGTTTGGGGAAAATTTGGTTGCTCTGGAAGAAAAAAGTTAAGCTCGTGGTTCTCCATTCTTCGGAGCAGTTAATTCATTTTATGGCTGGGGATGCACAACAGTTCTTTGTTACTGTGGTATATGCTTCAAATGATGATATGTCTAGGTTGATGTTATATAATGAACTGAAAAGGATTCAAGTGGGTAGTCAACCTTGGATGGTGTTAGGTGATTTCAACGATATCAGACATCCTTCGTAAGCATCAAATAATCCTCAGTCTGATTCTAGTATGCATCACTTTAATCAATGGATTGTCGATGTTGAACTGGTGGAGCATCAGGCTACAAGTCCTTAGCTCACTTGGCTGAATAAGCAGGTGGCAAGACCTATTGCTAAAAGGTTGATAGGGTATTAGTAAACTTTGAATGGATAGAGAAGATGAAAGACGGTAAAGCCCATTTACAGTCTCCTGGTGTATCTGATCACTGTCCCATGTATGTGAAAACTGAGGCTGCATTGAAATCTATTCCTAAGCCTTTTAAGTTCTTTAGTTTCTGGCTACATCATCCTCAGTTTAATAGTTTATTAGAGGAGGCTTGGGGTAGTTTGATATTCGAGGCAGAGTTAAGGAAAAAGAAATAGAGTTAAGCTTGATACAACTGCAAGCATTAGCAGATCCTTCATTAGAAAATTTTGAGGTTGGGGGTGTTTTGATGCGTGAGCTAATTGATCTGTTAGCTATTGAGGATAGCTTCTTGAGACAGAAATCCAGGGAGACTTGGCTTAAGTCAGGTGATACTAATTTTTCTTATTTCCACCATTCAGTTAAATCCAAACAGAAGAGAAGTACTATTAGAGTTCTCAAGGATGAAGCAGGGGTTAAAACTCAGGATGTTGATCAAATGGCTCAGATTGCTGTCAGATTCTATGAAAACTTGTTAGGGAAATCTGATTCTGAAGTTGAACCTCAGACTGTTGGCTATTATGGGAGATTATTGAAGAGGAAACTCACAGAGGAACAAACTGAGGGGATTTGTGCTCTTTTTACTGAAATGTAGATAAATGAAGTCTTGTTTTCAATAGATGGTAATAAGAGCCCGGGTCCAGATGGATTCACAACTTCTTTTTTTCCAGTATGCTAAGCCTACTATTGGCCACGAGGTAACCCTTGTCATTCAATACTGCTTTGAGCAAGATAGTGTCCCTAGAGCCGTTAATGCTACTATTTTGACTTTAATCCCTAAAGTCCCAAATCCATACGAAATGAAAAAATTTAGCCCTATTTCTTGTTGTAACATACTATATAAATGCATTTTCAAGTTAATTGCAAATAGGCTCAGCTCTCTACTCCCCTCTCTGATTAGTAAGAACCAAACAACGTTTGTGAAAGGTAGGCTTATTGGAGAGAACATACTTTTAGCTTATGAACTTGTTAGCAAGTATTCTCGGCAGAATGTTTCGCCTAGATGTGCTATTAAGATAGATCTCATAAAAGCCTTTGATTCAGTAGACTGGAGATCTATTTTCCAGGTTTTCAAAAGTATGGTTCCCCTGACAGATTTGTGACATGGATTCGAATGTGTGTTGGTACTCCTATGCTAAGTGTTTGCTTTAATGGAGGCCTTCTAGGTTATTTTCAAGCTAGTAAGGGATTCAGGCAAGGGGATCCTCTTTTCCCTTACTTGTTTTCAATAGCTATGGAAATTTTCACCTATCTTTTGGATAAGTCTGCTACTACTAGGATCTTTCCATTTCATCCACAGTGCAAGAAGGTTCAATTAACTAATGTATGCTTTGTGGATGACCTTCTGGTCTTCTCTAATGCTCCAAACTTTGGAATTCAAGAGTTACGGAGAGTCATTAAGCAGCTTAGGAAGATTTCTGGACTTAAGTCAAATCCCAGTAAATGTGATGTCTTTTTTGGTGGGTTGGATCATGAAGAGAGAGTTAGGAGGGCTGCTAGGTATGGTTATCAACTTGGGAGTTTCCTTGTACGATACTTGGGGGTTCCTCTCATTTCTGGTAAACTTAGTTTAGCAGCCTACAAACCCCTCATCAATAAACTAGTCCTTCTCAAAACTGTTGTTTGATGCACTGCTTAACAGGTTCTTGCAGCACCAACTAAGACCTGGCTGGAGAGGTGAAATATCGATTTGGATTGACAAATTATCTGCTGCTACTGAGGTTGCTGAAATAGAAAGGATTTTTTGGCAATCTTGGGTGAGCCATATATGGCGTGAACGCTGTTGTATGATTTATGTTGGTATCAAACGGGATTCCCATACTTTGTTGAAGGTAATAAAATATGAGGTTGCAATCATTGTTGGGAGTCAAATAGTTCTGCCTTTCTGGGATTCTTGAGTCTTCTAGTATGTTTCTAAGATGAGGTAGTATGTTATTGTATTATGGGATTCTTCAGTTTTATGTTCTGATTGCATGGTTCTTTAAATGGTAGGCAACATGTTGTTTTCTGCCTAGTGCATGCCTGGCTAGCAAGGCTGTTGCTAGCAACATTTTTTGGATGAATATATAACCCACCGATTCATAAAAAAAATTTGTACTACTTAATAAAAGTCAGGTTCTAGCCCAAGGCTTACTATCGATGTAGCATGATTCGGGCCCAAATGTACACATTTTACCCCTCATTTATTATTTGTTTAGCTTAGTATTTCATCGTTCCTCGACATATTTCACGCTAGGTTGTGTTTGTTTTGATACATTTCAGGTTCTAGCACGTGTAGAGGTTCGTGGTCGAATTTTGGGATAATTGAAGGTCAAAAAGTGCAAAGACCGAAGAAAAGTCCGAAGTTGTGACAATTTCCTCGTAACAGTTAAGTGACGGCGTGTCAGGATACAGTCGCAGCTCACGGCTGGACGAGGCAGTTCACGGTCTCCCAAGACCGTGAACTTCGACCACAAACCGTGAACATCAAGGCGTCCAGGGAGGTTCCTGAAGTTACTGACGACAAGGCAGTTCACGGTTTCTAAGACCGTGAACTATGGCCATTGACCGTGAACCCAGGAAGCAAGGTTGTGCGTTTTGGAGACGACCGAGTTCACGGACGCGTTTAGGTGTTCACGACCGTGAACTGGCCAACGCGTCCGTGAACTGATCGCTTTCGGGCAAATATGAAGACAACAGCGGGGAGAGAGAAAGGAGAGCTGGTTTTTGGAGAAGAATTGGTTTCGTTCTCTAGGGTTTGCCCAAAAACACCAAAGGGGAGTTCTAGAGAGAGAGAGAGTGCTAGAGTGATCTTGAAGCATCATTGGAGGTTTGGATGGAGATTCAAGCCTAGAAGAAGAAGATCTCGAGCTCAAACTTGTAATCCCTCTCTCTCTCTCTCTCTCTCTCTAGAAACTCACTCTTTTCTCTTGGGTTTTGTAGATCCCTAACTAATGCTTTGTAATTACTTGTATAGATTGAATGATTGTTTATGGGTATTGTTTAATCTAATGATTGAGGTATTATTCATGTTTATTGTGCATGCTTGTGCTTAGCAATCCAAGGGTTGTGCATGTTTTGTGCTTAGCATCCTTAGATTTGTGCATGTTGGTGCTTTGCAATCTAATTAGCCACTTTAACCTAGCTTAGAGAGGAAAATCCCCCTTCCAAGGGAGACGCAATCGAGTTGGTTTTCCTTTAGCTTTGTAAGCCACCTAACTAGGTTAATTTAGGGCAAACCTCAATGTTGAATTAAGCAAATTGGTTAAGCGCAATTAAGTCGTCCGACCCTTGAGTTGAGTGTGGGAGTAAGTCAACCACCGATTGCCTAAATCGAGAGGGCCGAGTGACATGGTCATAATGTTCACCTCGGTTTAGCAATTGAGATTGTGTCTATGAACATATATGTATCCCTTTGCGGTTCGCGGTTACCTTGCCCATAGCAATCGTTTCAATCTAGCGAGTCGCGGTAGCTAGTTAGGGGGAAGCAACTCCTGGGTGAAGCTCCCTTAGTTAGACTTTTCCTTTATTTACTTTTCCTTTCTAGTTTAGTTTGTAGTTTTCATTAGCTCTAAAACCCAAAACCGTTTTGCTAGAAAACAACTTAAGCAATTGAAGTAGGGGTACATGGATCGGCCTGGGTTGACAATTTAAATACTTGCTCTATACTGCACCAGGCTAGAGTTTAAAAACTTGGACTCTAGTCGGGATTAATTTGTGGTATAGTTCCGTGCGAGTCATAGCACGTGTCCAAATTCCATATTTAAAATTATTAATGCTTTCATATATTCCATTTTGCCATTATATATTAACTTTTGACCAACAAAATCTCACGCGCGGTATTCGCGATGAGCACCGAACTAGTGTATGATAAACTATGACTCCATTTAGCTATAGAATTTGCGTTTTCTGTTAACTCCTAAGGTTTCATATAGTCAACTATGAATATTTCAAATATTCCTAAGTATTTTAAAATTCTGAATTTTAAATACTTATAGTTTTGTCGTTGTATTGAATAATACATATTTTTTTAAATGCTTACATTTGCAATATAATTTACTTTATATTTTCAGCCTACTATTAGTTTATTTACGCTCTAAAGAAACCGATTTTTTGAAAATTAAACATGAGTACCTATATTATTTCTTATATTGTCGTACCTAAAGTTTACTACAATTAATAAATAGGTCCCATAAAATTGATGGTATTCTTCTTTTTTCTAATTTGAGGTATGCCAAAGACGAGACAAATTTTTTTAATTATATTTATGTACCTATAGTTACTATTTCTTACATATTTCTTACATTGTAGTGCCCAAACTCTAATAAAATTTGAAAATAGGTCCAAAAATTTGATGGTGATATTTTCCTAATATGTTGTTTATAGTTCAAAAACTATATTTTGGTACTTGTATTTATTATATCTTATGTTTTAGTACTACTTTTTAATAAATTTGCAAATAGGCCACAAAAGATTTATGGAAAATTAAAATTATAGTATCTAGAGATTTTTACTAAAAAATTATAGTATCTATCTTTTGAAAGTTTACAAACCTGCTTAGATGGATTTTAAATCTTCACATTTATATGAATTTGTTAATCTCAAATAATAATACAATTAAAATGTATTTGATAACCCACGGTGCTAGGTTTGGTTGAACACAGGAGTCCTAGCAGCCTACATACTCAATGCAATGGTATCCTCATTCTCACTCTGAGTTCCTCATATGACCTTCTACGTGATAGTCATCGTCCTATCCATGCTATTCACTGCATGTACTATGGCCATCCCGGAATCGCCATACTGCTACTAATGAAAGGTGGCAAGCTGATGAAGCGACAAGAATTTTGGAAAATAGTGAGCGAGGTCTGAATGAAGTTAACTTCATAATCTCGCAGATGGAAATACTAGTTGGAAATGAAAATCATCAACAACATGAAGTTCTCCCTGATGCTTGACACTATCTGTATAGCACCAATGACTTGTTCCTCCAGCCACCATTTCGCAGTGTTGTAATCTCGGTTGTCGGGCTACATGTCTTCCGACAGTTGGATGGTGTGAAATGCCAACACAGTGACACTCTTGGGTTAATTCCCAAAATAATTTTTTTTTATTTACCACCAATATGGTGGTTTTAAATATAATGACACAGATATTGTGTTTTCGTGGGCAAACATACGCGGGCTCGCATGAGTCTCAATTTTAGTAGTTTGAAATGCGGATCAAAAATGGACTTGGGCGGACCCGCAGCAGACTCATGCGAGTTCGCATAAGAGTGGAAGAAATGGGCCAGACTCACGCGGGTTCGCATAAAAGAAACCCCGAGTCTTATCTTCTTCTCCACCTCGCCCCTTCCGCAGCGACGCACCCCTCCTCTCGTCGTCCTCTCGCCAGAAACCCACCATCGCCCAACTCCAATCGCCGACCGCCACAAAACCAAGCAATCCACCGCGGGCTCGCCCCGGACTCATGCGGAGAAGACCGAGAGTCACGCGGAAGCGCAGGAGTGAAGAGCGGCCGAACAAAACCAGATCTGGGTTTTTCTGGTTTTGATGTCGGACTCCGATGAAGAACAGGCGGCCGCCGGAGGAAGAGGCCGTGGAAGAGGACAACAAGCACGCGGTCGGTACCGAGGTGAGCAATTCATCCACCGGAAAGTCGTCGCCAGCCACCGGGAAGTCGCCGCCGGCCACCGGAATGTCGTCGCCGGCGACCGGAAACTCGCTGTTGGCGGGTTTTTCTTTTCTGTTTCTATTTTTTTTTTTTTTTTGCAGTTCCTATGATTCTTGACAGGCATTCCATGAGACGACCACCTGCGACGATAGATACAGCTTCGGTCGATTCAGTACTCCTTTGGGCACATGGTCAACATCGTGCCGACTCAGTTTGGATTAACGAGGTAAGTATTTTATGTATTTTTCTCGGGCTAACAAAGTAAATAACCACAAGAGTTAGATAAATTCATGATAATATTAAATTAAAATAAATAAGATGTTGGAGTGTTAATCAATAACGATGAAGAGACTTACCGACTCGAACCAGTTGGTTATACATAATTTTGCTTTTTGTCTTCTTTTTCAAGTTGCTTGCATAGTGTCGCATGCACCACCTCCACTCCCAACCTCTTCCGATGTCACCCATGGCTTCATAGAGTGCCGCATGTCTATCTGAGATGATGCATACGTCATTTCGATCGGTCAAACCTTAAACACGATTTATAAACCATGGCCAACTTTCAGTATTCTTGCTCTCCACAATGGCAAATGCTTTTGGAAAAATCTTCTTCCGGCCATCAAATGAGCTCGCCATGAGTAGCACTCCTTTATACTTTCCAGTAAGAAAGGTTCCATCAACAACCATGACTCCTGGACAATTCTTGAATCCATCTATACAAGGTCCATAAGCCCAGAATACTCGCTGAAAGATCGAATGACCTGGTTGATCTGAAGGAACTCTTACCCAATCAATAACTGATGTTGGCATTTTTCTCTTTACCACCCGCAAGAATGTTTGCAAATAATCATAGGATTCTTCCCAATTTCCATGCAACTTCTCCAATGCTCTTTGTTTCCCATACCAATCCTTCTTATAAGTAACTTGCATATTAAATTTATCTTTCATCTCGGCTTGCACAGTTAGAACACTCAGATTAGGTTGAGCACATACCAAATGTTTCACGGACTCAGATATAACATCGACATCAAGATGGCGATGATCTGTCGGTTGAGTCGTATTGCTACAAGAATGCACCAACTCGGCCTTCCTCACAGTCCATTCGCTTCCAATGTTTCGACATCCAAACCGCACCATCCAAGGACAATTTTCATCCTTATGCTTCAAGCATCTACCTTCCAGATTGAAGGTGACGACTCCACCATGCCATATGAAGGTAACCGCCACCTGTGCAGCTTGTTTCGAGTGAAATATCTGGCCTTTGTAGAATTCCCCTTCAAAACCAGTAACGATAGGTATTGGAATTATCCCATATGAATCAACATATGATAATTCATCATCCTCTTCATTAGCCTGCAAGTAAAAATATGGAGGAAAGTTAGGCTGCTCTTCTTCCCCATCTTCCTCCTCCTCATCCTCCTCCTCTTCCTCCTCCTCCTCCTCGTCGTCGTCCTCATAATCGTGGTCAGATGGCACACTCCATGTATCATCTTCACCCTGATCAGCCTGGCTAATCTCAGCATGTACCTCAGCACCCAAACAATAAGGATTTTGTGCCATAAAATCGAAAAGCGCATTCAAATCATCATCATCTACAATAGGCATCGCATAATGAAATAGAACACCATTCTGCCATTCTGGAAGACAGTAAGTGAAACCTGTGATCATATCACTATCTTGTAATGCATCGTCTCTACGCCGTATTCTCGGGATTAGATTCTCACAAAATTGATGATATGTCACCCGACATGGAACTGTCAACTGAAACCTTCTACCACCAACGAAATGAACGCCGAAATTGTCGTCTACTTTCTCCGATTTCCACCAAACAATTAATTCAAATTTCCTAAAATCACTACATAACAAACAAATGCACATTACTAACTAAAAAAATTATAATAGCATTTTAATAATATAATTACAAAAATAAATGTCTCTTACCTAGCCATCTTTGCAGCAACCAGTAGAGCTCCTCCCTCTCGTTTTCGTAGAAGTTTTTGGGGTGGTGATACTGAATGGAGGAGAATGGAGGAGAAGAGAAAATATATATGCTGGAGTGGGTAAAACACAGACCGAATCCGCATGAGACTAATGCGGGTTCGCTAAGTCCATGCATTTCCGCACCAGTCCCACGTGAGCCGCACCAGTCTCACGCGGGTCCGCACAAGTCCATTTCGTATCCGCATTTCAAACCAGTAAAATTGAGTCTCCTGCGAGCCCGCGTATGTTTGCCCACAAAAACACAATATCTGTGTCACTATATTTAAAACCACCATATTGGTAGTAAATAAAAAAAACATTATTTTGGAAATTTTCCCGACACTCTTCCACCAATTCTTGATAGAGTTTGAGGTGTTGGCAGAATGGGGAATCTAGGTAGTCATGTTGATTTTTGTTGAATGGTAATTTGCAATCAATCTATCACTAAACTCCACACATGATAGGTCTAATGCTATCAATAATGAAGCAATTATCAAAATCATTTCATCATAAATAATGAGTGCAAATGGAACATGTAGTGTTCCTTATCTCTGTCGCTAGCTCAAGAGTGAAGCAAAATAATGATCAAGACAAGTTCTTCAATTCATGACATAATTTCATGGGCCAATGATCAATTATCATCCCCAACAAAGCACATGCAAGCTGCAGCGACGTGAATGAAGGGTCCATTCAATTGAGCTCTATCTTCTCTACAATTATTATAGTTGTTTCTATTATCCATGTAATATATATAACTAAGGTATGGAGGAGTATAGAGTGTGTCAGAGAGACATAAAAAAAAAGTCTATGTATCTATGTGTTTGTAAGCAACAAGAGCCAAAAGTTAAGGCCTTATTGTTTGAGTGATTTATAAAAAGAGTGATTAAACACCAATTGTTTCCTTTGTTTTGATCCTAAATTACCACTAGTTCTGCTAATTCCCAACAAATTTGGTATCAGAGCTAATACCCTTCTATCCTCTAAAAAAATCCCCAACTTTCTAGCCTACACAACTTTCTCAAAAAATCCATGGCAACAACTTCATCAAACACCATGTTTGCTACCTCCTCAAATCAAATTCCCATTTTCGATGGAGAATTGTACGAGTACTGGAGTGCCCAAATGGAGCCTATTTTCGTCTCTCAAGATCTGTGGAATATCGTCCAAGAAGGATATGAAGATCCACAAGACGAGGATGAAGACTCTAAGAAACGATCAGGCAAGCAGAAAAAGGAGTATAAGGAGAATGCCAAGCAAAATGCTAGCGCCTTGAGAATCATTCAGCAAGCAGTGAGCAAATCAATTTACCCCAGAATCTATGGCATAAAAAAGGCCAAAGAAGCTTGGGATGTCTTGCGTGAACAATTTCAAAGTTCTGAAAAGGCGATCTCCATCAGGCGACAAAGTTTATGGCTACAGTTCGACAACTTGATGATGAAGGAAACCAACACCATCAAAGACTTCCACTCGCGTGTTGCGGAGACAGTCAACCAGATCAAAGCCACTGGTGACTTCATGGAAGAAAGGAAGGTCATGGAGAGAATTCTCCGGAGCCTATCATCAAAGTTTGAACACATTGTTGCTGTCATAGAAGAAACCAAAGATCTGGCAAATCTACCAATGAGCAAGTTGATGGGCTCACTTGTAGCACACGAGCAAAGAATGAGCAGCTTCACCAAACCGCCATTGGAGCAAGCTTTCTCGTCAAAAGTCAACATGAAGGAAAGTAAATATGCCAAATCGGAGCAAGGCCAGAGAGGGGGAAACTCACAAGGGAGAGGAAGAGGAAGATCCAATTACAGAGGAAACAACAGACAAAATTATCAACAACAAAGATCGGGCTACACCGGCTCGAGTTGCATAATTTGCAAAAAGGCTGGTCATGCAACAAAAGATTGCAGATTCAAGTGCACCAAGTGCATGATTCAAAACCACTCCCAGAGAGATTCCTGGTTCCAGAACAAGCAAGAAGAAGGCGAGTCAAGCGACACCAAAAATGAAGAAAGCAATATGGTGGCTTTATCATGCTTGAATGGTGAGCAAAAATTACAACTTCCCTGGATGGTGGATAGTGGTTGCAGTAACCACATGACTGGATATCTGGAGTCCTTCACCGACATCGATGACAAATACCGCTCTCAATTCAAATTGGGAGACGGAAAGAAGTTAAAAGTGGAAGGAAAAGGCACAGTTGTTGTATGCATAGAAGAAGGCAACAAAACTCTCATTCGAGATGTTTTGTATGTTCCGGAGCTAACTCTCAATCTACTGAGCGTGGGACAACTGATGCTGAAAAATTACAAGTTGTTGTTTGATAATGGCGTGTGCGAGATTATCAACAAAGCTGACAATTTCATGGTGTCCAAAGTCCCGATGACTTCCAACAGAATTTTCTCTCTTGCTATGTCACAAAATGGCGAAGTAGCAAGAGCGAAAATCTGGATCAATCCTTCCTATGGCATCTCAGATATGGTCATCTCAACTTCAAAGGTCTCAAATTGTTGAGACAGAAAAATATGATGGCGGGACTTCCCCAGATCAACAGAGAAGACAAAATTTGTGAAGGGTGCATATATGGCAAAATGCATCGTTTACCATTTCCAAAGACATCTTGGAGAGCAAAAGCGCCACTGGAGTTGGTACATGCGGACATATGCGGTCCAACTCGAACACAATCACTCAGTGGTAAAAAGATATTTTCTACTATTTGTAGATGACTTCACCAGAATGATGTGGGTATTCTTTCTGGAGCAAAAGTCAGAAGCTTTTCCCAAGTTCCTTCAATTCCAAGCAGTAGCTGAGAAGGAAAGTGGTCATCAAATCAAAACTCTCCGTACAGATCGTGGAGGAGAATTTATTTGTACTCCGTTCATGGAGTATTGTCGCAACAACGGAATCAAAAGGCAGCTGACGGTCCGTTACACACCACAACAAAATGGCGTGGCAGAACGGAAAAACTGCACGATTGTGGAGATGACGAGAATTATGATCAAAGCCAAGAAGCTTCCCAAAAACTTGTGGGCAGAAGCGGTCAATACAACAATTTACATCCTCAATAGATCACCAACCAAAGTAGTTTGGAACAAGACACCGATACATGCGTGGCACCACAGGAGGCCACAGGTGGATCACCTCAAAGTCTTTGGGTGCATAGCTTATGCACATATCTCTACCCCAAACCGAGACAAGTTTGACCAGAAGGGTGAGAAGCTGATCTTCACCGGCTACAGTGATGAATCCAAAGGCTATCGTCTTTACAACCCAGTAAAGAACGAGGTGGTGGTTTCCCGAGATGTGATCTTTGATGAGATGGCGGAGTGGAATTGGGAAAATCCAATTTCTCAATCTCCACCAAGTTATGAAATTCTGGAGGATTCAGCAATTCGAGAAGATCCCAGCAATAACCCAGATCCAGTTGCAAGTCCAGAAAGAAATTCTACACCTAGCCCAGAAGAAGACGACTTCAGAGACGTCGTAACATACTCGGATTCACCTCCGTTAAAAACAAGGTCTTTGCGAGAAATTTATGAAACAAGTCATGTTGCATATTTTTCTTGTGAGCCTCAAGTCTTTGAAGAAGCAGCCAAAGATGAAGTTTTGAATGAGGTAATGGATGCAGAAATTTCCATGATCGAGAAAAACAAGACATGGGAGCTTGTTGATCAACCGAAGGACAAGCCAGTTATAGGTCTCAAATGGATCTATAAGATCAAATTCAATGAAGATGGTTCTATCCAGAAGTACAAAGCTCGACTGGTAGCAAAGGGCTATTCACAACAGCCCGATATTGATTTTCACGAGACATATGAACCAGTAGCGAGGATGGAGACCATCAGAACAGTTCTCGCTCTAGCTGCTCAACTGGAGTTGCCAGTATACCAGCTAGATGTCAAATCAGCATTTCTGAATGGAGAACTAGAGGAAGAAGTCTATGTGGAACAACCACAAGGCTATGAGAAAAAAGGAGAAGAAGACAAAGTATATCATCTCCGAAAGGCTTTATACGGGCCGAAGCAAGCACAGAGAGCCTGGAACAGCAGAATTGATCGATATTTTCAACAAAACAGATTTCAAAGAAGTCCGAGTGAAGCATCTCTCTACATCAAAAAGGGAGAAGGAAAAGATTTTCTAATGGTTTGTTTATATGTTGATGACTTGATTTACACAGGTACAAGTCAGCATATGATCGAAGAATTCACAAGTGCCATGATAAAAGAATTCGAGATGACGGACTTGGGACTCATGAAGTATTTTCTTGGGATCCAAGTGAAGCAGTCACCTGGAGAAATATTTATTTCACAGGAGAAGTATACCGAAGATATGCTGAAAAGATTTCACATGACAACGTGTAAACAAATCTCAACAGCAATGGCGTTAAACGAGAAATTACAACGCAATGATGGAGCTGAAAAGTCGATGGAAAGCTGTACAGAAGTCTTGTCGGGTCACTCATTTACCTGACACATACCCGGCCAGATATATGTCATTCAGTAAGTCTTATATCAAGATTTATGAATGAACCTAGCAAACTTCATTTTGCAGCAGCCCAAAGAATTTTGTGGTATCTTCAAGGTACTAAAAAATTGGGCCTAACGTACAAGAAAAAAGCAGAAAGCAAGCTGACTGGATATACCGATAGTGACTGGGCAGGATCACTGGATGATCGGAAAAGCACATCGGGGTACATATTCTGTCTGGGTTCAAAACCTATTTCCTGGAGTTCAAAAAAGCAGAAGACTGTGGCATTATCTTCAGCGGAAGCAGAATATATCGCAGCTACAAATGCAACATGCGAAGCGGTATGGCTGAAAAGATTAATTTTTTATTTGCAGCAAAATGAAAATGGTCCAACCATTATTCATTGTGACAACATGTCAGCCATAGCCATGACAAAGAATCCAGTATTTCACGCAAGATCGAAGCATATCGAGTTACGTCATCATTTCATCCGAGACCTCATCAACGAAGGATTAATCGTGATGGAATTTATCAACACCAACGACCAGCCAGCAGATATCATGACAAAGGCGGTTACCCGTGAGAAGTTCAAGAAGTTCAAGGAGCTACTCCGAATTGCAAATTAAGAGGGGGTGTTGAATGATAATTTGCAATCAACCTATCACTAAACTCCACACATGGTAGGTCTAATGCTATCAATAATGAAGCAATTATCAACATCATTTCATCATAAATAATGAGTGCAAATGGAACATGTAGTGTTCCTTATCTCTGTCACTAGCTCAAGAGTGAAGCAAAATAATGATCAAGACAAGTTCTTCAATTCATGACATAATTGCATGGGCCAATGATCAATTATCATCTCCAACAAAGCACATGCAAGCTGCAGCAACGTGAATGAAGGGTCCATTCAATTAAGCTCTATCTTCTCTACAATTATTATAGTTGTTTCTATTATCCATGTAATATATATATATATAAATGTAACTAAGGTATAGAGGAGTATAGAGTGTGTCAGAGAGACATAAAAAAAAAAAGAAGTCTTTGTATCTATGTGTTTGTAAGCAACAAGAGCCAAAAGTTAAGGCCTTGTTTGTTTTAGTGATTTATAAAAAGAGTGATTAAACACCAATTGTTTCCTTTGTTTTGATCCTAAATTACCACTAGTTCCGCTAATCCCCAACAATTTTCACCCTTGTCTCGAGCTGCCTGGTGGACCGGCTAGTTCGAAGGTTCCTGCTTCTCATCGGGATTGGTTACCAGTGCTGCTTTCTGGTGATGCTAGCGTTCCCACTTTGGGGTGTCCAGCATGATTGGTTGAAGCTATCTAGTGGCAGTGGCTACGACGAGGGAGTATTTGTGTTCATGTTGGGGTTAACTGGGGTTCTCGGGCCGTTTGAGGTAGGGTTGGGCCCGATTACTTAGATCTATGACTCGAAGGTGTTCGAGTACAAAAATCGAACTCACAGTGCGAGTTTTGGGACCGTGCACGGATGTACTAGTGTTTTGTGTCAATTTCACTGTCGAGAAGTTGAAAGTAGTTGTTGAGTGTACTGTGGGTGCTGGAACTAGTGATGGATGAGGATTTAGCAAATGATGCAAAATTAATGTCCTAACTAAGTGTTATGGGAGCTCTCAGTGTGAAGCAATTGAAGTGCCCACACCAAGCAAATACTTTCTTCTTTCAAGCCAAATAACAACCAACAAGAACCCCATTTATGTATCTTTATGTAGAATATGGAATTTTTCGGTTATATAAATCTGCATATAATGCCACAAACTGTTATATAATCCTAAATTGTGCACAAATTTTGGTTATACTGCTGATATATTCTCGACCCTCACAAATGGGGATGTTCTTTGTGGGAATATCAAGTGTTTCGTGATGTCTTCCTATGATGTTCTTATTGTAGGGGAAGTCTTGATCGGTCTCAAGCACATCATTCATATAGTCGAGTTTTGGTAAGTATTTTCTTAGGTTGTCACTCTGTTGTACCCTAATCTCGATCTCGGTGGTCGACTTACAAATCTTCTAACTGGTATTCATACTCGTACCAAAGCTTTGTTATATAACCATGAGGGGCGATGGAATTAAGACCCATAGCAAAACCAATAAAAACTAGCCTTATAACTAAAGCACCACAAGACGATATCCCAATACACTAGAACATGTTCCCTACAAAGAACAACTTGTATGAAATAACATACACAAAACCACCTAATAATAGAACACTCACAGACAAGTCCAAATAAGCCCAAACAAACCAACCAGGCCTTCCTAATACTAACTGGAAGCCCAGCGATGGAAGCCTCAAAGGTAAACCCACTAGGAATGTGGGACCCGCTAAATCAAGAAAAGCGCCTGGTTCTGCGGGGTCCAGCTTCATGAAACATTGCCAGGTAGGAGAGAGAGAGAGAGAGAGTCTGAGGTCAAGTTTGCTTCGGGGAGTCCGCAGCTCCACCTCTCCGCCCGCCCCTTTCCTTCCTTCATCGTGCTCCCCAAACAAAACAGCTACCAAACCCCCCTCTGCGCCATTTTTCTTCATCGATCATCACCCTATGTTATTCTCTTCGCACTGATCGCCCATTCAGCGGATTCCCCAACGCAGCCGTCCTCCCGTTATAGTCAGCAAATTCGAACCTCCCACTTACCAACCCACCACCAGAAATGGCATTCGCGGGTAGCATTGCAGCGACCACCACCAGCATTCTCAAGACCTCCTTCTTCACCTCCAAACCCAGCTCCTCTTCCTCCGCCTCCTCTTCCGTGCCCGTCAAGCCCCGGAGCTTCTCCGTCCGCAGCTCCGTCGCCGCCACCCCCGCCACCGGCAAGGCCGCCAAGGAGTGCCAAGTCAAGTCCGTCAAGGCCAGGCAGATCATCGACAGCCGCGGCAACCCCACCGTCGAGGTCGATCTCTTCACCGGCGGCGGTGACCTCTTCCGATCCGCCGTCCCCAGCGGCGCCTCCACCGGGATCTACGAGGCCCTCGAGCTACGCGATGGGGACAAATCCGTCTACGGCGGTAAAGGGGTCCTCACTGCTGTTGCCAATATCAACGACATTCTCGGCCCTAAGCTCGTCGGCGTTGATGTTAGGTAAGTTGTTTTTTCCTTTCTCATTACTTACTTCGTTTCCATTCATTTTTTTGGCTCTCTCACGGAATAGACCATTCAAGAAGTTGCCCGGTTTGTAAGCGCTTGCTGTTTCGTCCGATGTGAACAAAGTTTACAAGGGAGAAAACACAAAAAGGCCCAAACCATCTCGTTTCTGGTTCTGATGGTTTTTGCATTCTATTGGGTCACCAGAAACCAAGCGGATGTAGATGCCCTTATGCTGGAAATAGATGGAACCCCAAACAAGTCACAACTTGGGGCGAACGCCATACTGGGAGTCTCCCTCAGTGTGTGCAGAGCTGGAGCAGGTGCCAAGGGAGTGCCATTGTACAAGCACATCCAGGAACTGGCAGGGACGAAAGAGCTAGTTATGCCCGTCCCGGCTTTCAATGTCATCAATGGAGGAAGTCATGCTGGAAATGCACTAGCTATGCAAGAGTTCATGATTTTGCCTGTCGGGGCGGGTTCTTTTGCCGAGGCCCTCCGTATGGGCAGTGAAGGTCAGCTACATATAATAGCTAATTCTTAGTTGAACCTTGTGTAGTTTAGGGTTTAAGGTATGAACGTTCTGCATCTTGATGTTTCAGTTTACCATACGCTCAAGGGGATTATCAAATTGAAGTATGGACAGGACGCTTGCAATGTTGGTGATGAAGGTGGGTTTGCTCCTAATGTACAGGATAATAGGGAAGGGCTAGTGCTTCTCATGGACGCCATTGAGAAGGCTGGTTATACAGGAAAGGTATTAACTTTTAGCTAGCTTCTCTGCTCTTCTTGCCCTGCCCCTTGTGATCCTACTCAATCTACTCATGCTGCAATGTCTGCTGTGAAAAAACCTTATGCCAGATCAAAATAGGAATGGATGTTGCTGCTTCGGAATTTTTCACCAAAGATGGTAGATACGATTTAAACTTCAAGAACCAACCGAATGATGGAGCTCACGTGCTCGCAGCTCAGAGCCTTGGAGATCTCTACAGGGAATTTATCAAGGATTTCCCTATTGTCTCCATTGAAGATCCATTTGACCAGGATGACTGGAGCTCTTGGGCTTCTCTGCAGTCTTCTGTAGATATCCAACTCGTGGGAGATGATTTGTTGGTCACAAATCCCACAAGAATAGCTGAAGCTATTGGCAAGAAGTCCTGCAATGGTTTGCTTCTCAAGGCAAGCGGCCAGAAAGTTTTTATTTGCTTTACTTTCTTCCATATGTAATACTAGTGAATAGGAAAGAGTTCACTAATTGCCTCAATACTTCAATTAAACCGCAGGTGAACCAGATTGGCACAGTGACGGAATCCATTAAAGCAGCCCTTGACTCGAAAGCTGCAGGTTGGGGAGTGATGGTTAGCCACCGAAGCGGTGAAACTGAAGATAATTTCATTGCTGATCTTTCTGTTGGGCTGGCCAGTGGACAGGTTCGAACTGCTAAAGTTTTTGAAAATATGTTTTTCACTACATATCATTCTATGTCGATTGATTCTCTTTTCTCCTTGCCCTCTTTTTTGTAGATTAAAACTGGAGCTCCTTGCAGAAGCGAGCGATTGGCCAAATACAATCAGGTTAGATCTCATGATTCTGTATCTAGTACCTCTTATCACACTTTGAAAAGGACAATTCTTCTAATACGAATTGAACTACTGAGAAGATTACGTTTATGCCATTTGACCTAATTGTTTTACTTGAGGAGCTGTTTCTCAGAGACTAGTTTATTTACCCATCTTTTAGTCAGTTTTAGGATGCTTAATGGTCATTAAAGCCTAGCAATTGGGGGTTTTCCAGATACTGTCTCTGTTAACTTTGGTTCTCTGTTGCTGATTTGTTAATGCTCAATTTCATAACTGTTAGCTGGTTCTCTTTGTATTGCAGCTGCTGCGGATCGAAGAGGAGCTAGGAAATGTGCGCTATGCTGGCGAAGCCTTCCGATCCCCATAGGAGAAGAGAAGGGAAAGGTGGAAAGAAATGAAACATCATTTGAGTTGGCGAAGCTGGACGTGTTGCAGCGGGAAATTTGTAGAGTTACCTTCTTTTACAAGAAAGGAGTCCAAGTACATGGCAAAGCAGCAGAAAGAGTCGTGTAATTAGGCGCTATTCAAGTTTTGTACTTTCGTTCTAACTAATTGGTTACAGATGGACAGCTGCTTGTTTGTTAACAATAAAGTCTGCATTTACATGGATTTGGTGTTCAACATCCATGACATTCGGCAGGCAGACGAACTACACCCTATTGTATTGCCGAGATTCTTTATCGTCCCTTTCTCTGAGTGAACGATAGAAACCTGGTTTGCTTGCAAACAATATATGACTGAGATCAGTGAGAAACTTGTGTAGCAATTTTGGCCATCTATTCTATCCCGAGAACTTGCTGGTTATCTGGTTATCCAGATCAAGTGCTTCCGCCGCGAAGTCCAAACTGAACAATTCCCAACTCCTCCGCGCAACCTGCAGCCTCCCTCTGGCAACGGCAGAGAGTTCTGCCAAGATATTGGTGGCGAACCACCGAAGTAGGTTCCCGGATACAGCTTCTTCGGTAGTCGGTAGGGGACTGAGTTAGGCTATTAATGAGTCGAGGATCCCAACCGTTACAATTTGGTTGACTCTCCCGATAGGATACCCAACAAACATTCATAAACTAGAAGAGTTTTGGGTATGGTTTGTCATTCTATATGCTATAGTACTACGAGAAAACAAGCAGAAACTGCCTGTTTCAATCAACATAGCTCACTTCCATACAAGGAGCAATCTTCTGCTTGGCAGATGCATCCGAAACAGCACAAGTGAAGACTCAGTTACCTTGTATAGTAGGTTCTATGGAAAGCAATCGTGCTACCTTAGAAACCATGAACATTAAGAGAACGAATCTATTCATAACTACAAATGTCTAACTACTCACGAATAGCAGGGCCGGTGTATTGTCCAGGGCGCATATAGAGATCCTCTGGTGTCTCTATCTCTGAAAGCCACGCATATTCCTCTGTTCCTCCATCTTTTACCTCAACTCCACTTGCTGCTGCAGGATTTACATGTTATATTAAGTTTATTTGTCTCTTAGTTCAAACATATACATGTAACTAGATGAAGAGCTAAAAAACTGCTTACACAATTTGGAGTCTGGGTAGTCGTGGTAATATGTGCACTTTCTTCCAGCTTGTTCGTTGTAAGTAGGTGTGAGAATATCGAGGACTGCACAAGAGGTTAACGCAGTGAAGCAATGCAGATTCCCCCCAGCATTCGGATATAAGACTGATGTTACACAAGGGGCAGTCAGAACTTTGTCAACAGCAAACTTTGCGAGCATTTCTGTCAAAGGGTGAAAAGTGAAAACTCTCAGGGGTACTCCTATTATTCAACACATAATACTAGAGCAAGAGTCAAGGCTAAAAAAGGAGGCGAAGTATCAAACTGATGAGCCATGTACTAAAGGTAATCCTTATCCTTGAGAGTTATGAGAGGTAAAGAACAGACATGGAGCAAGCAAGGCAGGAGCATCTACATTTTAATACACCATAATAGACCACAAGCAACATTTTTTATGGACGGAATAGTTGCAAAGTCAGCATCTTTATCAGGAAATTTGCTACTATACTAGAATTCTATGTTCTTGAATGTGTAATTGAGCTTCCCAGCTAACTAGCTGTTATATGTACAAACTTGCAACTCCTCGCTACTATGCTTTGTTGCTCCACAATAGAGGACACAATCTCGTAATGATCTGACAAGAAGATCAAACCTTAACCATGAAATTCTCTCCCTATTGATCGAGGAACTTGAACACTTAACCCCGAGTCAATTCCGACAAAGTTCACATCGTGTACCCGAGAGGTCGCGCTCTTCTAAAGCAATTGGAGCATCATGCGAAAGAAGTAAAGGGTAAAATGTAGAACCTGAAGGAAACCCACCCTTGGTTTTCGAGAGAACAGCTGGCTCAACCCAGTCATAAGCTTTGACATGGAGGGAGCCATAGAGAACTTTGCTGAACACAGTCATGCCAGGGTGATCATGAAGTGGAATAACAGAGGAGGTAGGAAAGCAGAATATACACATCTGCATTCAAAGATTAATAACTCGCATCAAACTTTGAACACAGAGAATCTAGATCATCTAAATCCAATTAGAGTGCATGTTACTTCAATCAACAACCACAGCCAGTGAGTTATAATGTCAGGAGGGTGAAGCAATACCGTAAAACTATCACATTCGTAAACGTCTATGTATGTTATTGGTTGAGACCACTTAGCAACCCTACTGAGACGTTGAAGCCCGAACATGCCATGTCCTCGATCATCATCTGAAGTTTCCTCTTTCAGTCCCACATCAGCTGGGCCAATCGAGTCTACAGATTTCATAGGGAATTAGGGTCAGTAATTAAGACAAAAGAGTTGGCAAGATGAGGCATTTCAACTTCAATTCCAAGAAATTGTTCATTGTTCAGGAACGGAACTCATGAATTGAATTAACAGCAAGAAGCATAAACCATAGGAGTAGAAAATAAAGACTTTGAGAACCAATACAAGTGGAAATGACAAAAGAATTCTGAAGAGCAAATTTATGCATTGGGGATACAGTTTCACACTGAGCTTCAAAACGAAGCAAAAATTCAAAAACCCATTTCAGGAATTGCCACGAACTTGATCAAGCACACAAAAAATCTGCCAATTTAGGACCAACAACGAGGATTGAGCAAAAAGGAAGGAACTCATAAGAAAGAGGTAAAGAAAGAAGGCGAGAAAGGAATACCCAAAAGAGAGGAAATCTTTTGGACGGCGGCCGACGAAGACGGAGGAAGGCCGGACGGAGAGAAAGTGGACTTGCATAGCTCGTAAAGAGCTTGAACTTTAGAAGACGAAAACTGGTGCTCCACCATATCGGCGCTGCTGCTCAAGCTACTACACTGGGTAAAAGGCGACGAGGAGCCCTGCGTTTTATTGGCCCCAAAAAACAATTTCCTCGCGTTATCGACAGCAATTTGGAACTTTGACAACATTCTCCGCGGTCTAACTGCGTTGTTATCAGATAGATAACGAAATTATGGTTCTGAAATGGTTGAAAACAAATAAAAAATTAAATCGCCACCTCACCGGGAAACCTGGAGGCGGAATAAAAAGACTACTAATGGAGAAGCTTGTGCGTGCAGATTATTGACTGGCGATCGGTTCTTCGTTGCCGGCGGTCCATTATTTCTTTTCCGAGGGTTCGGTAGTGGATAGGGATGGTAACAAAAACCTGAACCTACGGGTACCCACCCGACCCAACTCGGTCAATGCGGGTAAAACCCGTGTTGACGGGTTTTGGGCCGGGTTCGAGTTTAAACCCGCTATATTATTCATCGTGTCGGGTTGGATTTGGGTTTAGGTAAACCCGCCCCATGGGTACCCGCCCACACACATATAATTACTTTCCCGCTATATTTAATATTCTAAATAATATATCTTTCTTAAACAACTAATATTCTTTATTTTTGTGGAAACATGTATAATTTGTTCTTTCTAATTGTTTAGAATGAAGTTGATATTATGAAGTGAAGAATGAAGAAATTTAGTTGACGAGGAAGAAGCTTTCAATTAATCTTATTGTTTATAAATGTTTATCTTTAATTTTGAACAATTTGTATTGATCATTTACGGTTTGCTTGTATGCTCTAGATTGGTGTTTTTTGTATGATTAATTTGTATGAGAAAATTGATGTTAAACGTTTATTTTGAAAGAAACTTGTTATTGTAAATTTTTTACTAGAAAAACCCACGGGTACCCATGAACCCGCAGATACCCAGCGGTTGGGTTGGGTTTGAGTTTTTCAAACCCAACAGGTTTTACTCCGGGTTTTTTTGGCAGATAAACCAATGGGTTTGGGTTTGGGTTTGACAAAACCCGCCCCAACCCGACCCATTGCCATCCCTAGTAGTGGAGAATGGAGATGACGCATGTGAAGTTTTAATGTTTTATGTTCAGGTAAATTGCATATGTGGTCATTAGAATTATTTAAAAGTACACATTTGTCACTAAAATTTAACTTATTACATATATAGTCACTCAAATTAATTCAACAGTTCAAATTTGATCACACTCCGTTAACTTTATCGGACGTGATAGTCAACTCTAAGAGTTGATCGTTAAGTGAAGTGGCAATCAAAAAATAAAAGATAAATTTTTTAAAAACTCCATCTCATTATCACTATGAATTAAAAAATAAATAAAACAAATAATTATTTTATCCTTCATTCTTCTCTCCAGATCCCGACCCTACCACTACTCCGCAGGTGCAACTCCGCCATGACGCTTCGAGAACAAGACCGATGATTCCCACCTCCGATGCTTACAAACATGGACCATGTGCTGCTATTGTTCATGGTGGCGGTGGAGATGCCAAATCATTTCCACGGACTCCAACTTGGCGGCGATTCTCACCGAGCACACTATATGAATTCCTAGCTAGAATTATCAGCTAAACATTACCACAAATTTGCAGAGATTGAAATTTGCAGTGAGTCGCGGAAAGACAAAAGAAGAGAAACGAGACAAATAGACAACAGCAGCAGGTGGTCCAGCTTCTACCTCTTCAATTTTCTGCCTTTGTTACAAACCCAAAGTTGCCTTTCAATTTACTGATGCCAGATGGAGAGACTTGAAGAAGAGGTGGAGTTTTGTTGAGGTGACGTAGCATTCTCACCACAAATCGATTGGAGTATAGCAGTGTTGAATGATATATGTCTAGGCTACGATTTATGTTGAGCTGTGGGGCCCATTTATTGTAAAGCCCACACGACCATGCAGGCCCATGCACATAGGTTCACGTAGATGTGTGCTGTTTCCTAAACCTAGGTCTCGTCGGGTGTAAATAGGAAGTGAGGTTTTGCCGCTGTAATCATCTGTTCATCACAACTCAGTAAAATCAGTAGCCTGAAGAGCGTTCTAAGCTCTTCCGTGGATTAGTCCTGGATATCCAGGGATACCACGTAAACTCCAGTGTCTGTGTTTGATTCTATTTCCGTATTAGTCTTCATCTATTTCTATATCGGTTAATATGGTATTAGAGCTTGCTGCGGCTGAATCGGAGAGGCCGACTGTGCGCCTCATGTCAACGAATTATGCCCTATGGGAATGTCAGTTTCGGGTATTTGTCGAAGGAAAAGGTTTGTTGGGAATCTTGGATGGTACTACGCCTTCACCAGCGGAGACCGCACCAGAACAAGAGAGAGCATTATGGCGACAGAGTGATGCCCGAATTCGGTCTTGGTTAATGGGTTCTGTGGATCCCTCCACCTGTCTTAGTCTCCGATTATTCCCCACCTCAAATCGGATGTGGCGCCATTTAGCTGGCCTCTATTCGAATGTCAATGCGGTTCGGCAGTTTGAAGTGCAAACGGCCCTTTCTCGTCTGGAGCAAGGGGATCGATCGGTGACCGAATACTTTAATGCAGCACAAGAATTGTGGACAGAGGAGGATATGATTCAGATTACTCTGCGTCCACAAGCCATGACTGATGATACGTTGGCCGAGAGACAGCAAACCAGGGTCATGCAGTTTCTGATGCGGTTGAGACCTGAGTTCGAGAACGTCCGTTCCAATCTGCTGAACCGTGAGCTGTTGAATTTCGATGGCGTGCTGAGTAGTCTTGTCCGTGAAGAGACAAGGTTGAGGACACAAGCTCATTTTGACATACGCCCAGGAGAGGGTGAATCCATGGTTGCTGCTTTGGGCACCACGTCACGTTCAGGTGTGTCGCGATCTGCCATGGGTCAAAATTCCCATGTCCTTGCTGTTTCGAGACCTCAGTTCACAAGTCGGGTTCCTAATGCGAAACGTGAGTGCCATCACTGTCATGAAAAGGGTCATTTAGTCAAGCACTGTCGTCGTAGAAACTATTGTGTGTACTGCAAAAGAATGGGACACATGATTCTCGAGTGTCGCACACGAGAACGGAATGCTGAGCGTAATGTTGATCGCTATGCTGGGGCTGGACGTGGTTCACAGGGGAGATATACTCGCCCTACTTATGCTGTGGAACAAGGAGAGACAAGTGATTCTTCCTCTCAAGGTAATCCTACTGCTGCTCAATTTGAGCAATTAGTCAAGGTTGTTGCTGCTCTACAAAATTCCCTCCCAACAGCAATAGGTTCGGCCCTATATACTCTACAAGGTAAATCAAAATCCAAACCTTGGTTATTAGATTCTGGTTGCTATAATCACGTGACTAATGATTATAATTACGTGCAAAATTTTCGGCCCATTAGTCATGTTGGTTTAACAGTAGCAAATGGCGATAAAATGGATGTGAAGGGAATTGGTACAGTGGATACTCCTAGTATTTCTTTATCACGCACTTTACATGTACCTGCCTTAATGCCTAATCTAGTTTCAGTCGGACAACTTACTGAGCAGGGTTGTACTGTTCTGTTTGCTCCTACTGGTTGTGTTATTCAGGACTTGAAGACGGGGAGACAGATCGGAAGGGGGAGTAAACAGGGGAGGATATTTCATTTGGAGGAGTTGCAAGACAGTTCGAGCTCATCTCATCTTTCGAGTCTCTCAGCCTATAGCAAGAGTGTGTCTAGGTCTGTCAGTAGTCCTCCTCAGTCAGTTAAATCAATTTCAGCTGTTGGTCTCGTGTTTTCTAGTTTGTCAAACAAAGTGTGGGAACTTTGGCATGCTCGCTTGGGGCACCCTCATTCAGCTCGTCTTTCTATGATGTTTAAACAGTCTCTTCTAGGAAAGAATTGTGTGGGAATTTCGGAAAAACATTTTTGTACCAGCTGTGTTGAAGCCAAGACCTCGAGTATTTCTTTTCCTTCGAGCACCACTATCATAAATGAACCCTTTCACATTATTCACACTGATCTCTGGGGGCCTTCTCCTACTGTCTCTCGACTTGGTTTCCGTTATTTTGCCCTTTTTATTGATCATGCCACTCGATAACATGGATATATTTTCTTCGGCTCAAATCTGAACTTCGTTCTGTGGCTACAGAGTTTATCCAAATGATTCAAACTCAGTTCGGGAAAACTATCAAAATTATTCGATCTGATTCCGGTGGAGAGTTTAGTTCGAGTCCTTTGCATGAGGTTTATCGGTCTAAGGGTATTTTGAGTCAGATGTCCTGTCCTGGTATTTCTCAGCAGAACGGCCTAGTTGAACGGAAGAATAGACACGTCATGGAGCTCACACGAGCACTGCTTCTTGCTTCTTCTGTTCCTTGTCGTTTTTGGCCAGAAGCTGTTGCTACGGCTGTGAAGCTTATTAATTATCAGGTCACTCCTACTCTGCGTCATACCAGTCCTTACTTTGCTCTTCATGGTCAGCATCCTGACTATTCCCGCCTTCGAGTCTTTGGTTGTCTTTGTTTTGTCCTTCTTCCCAAACGTGAGCAAAATAAATTGACTTCCAAAACTGTTCGTTGTGTTTTTCTGGGGTATAGTAGTGTTCACAAGGGATATCTGTGTTATGATCCTTCTGCTCAACGTATGAGGATAGCTGCTACTGTAGTCTTTTTTGAACACAACATTTTCTATCCCCATAATCCAGCCTCCTCTGTCCAGTTCCCTGGCGGGCTGCATCCCTTGCCTTTTTTTGGTGACTTTGATGATGAAGACTCCCTCCCATCCGATGATCCAGTTCCTCCTCCTTCCCCTCAGCATCTGTCTCCTCTCTCCACAAGTGAGTCTGGCTCGGCGTCATCATCCAGCACATCTCCAACATCTGACCCCAATTCTTCTCCGCCAGCACCTCAACTTCGCCGCTCTGATCGGACAAATAAGGGCATCCCTCCGCTCAGGTTTGAAGATTATGTTGTTCATGGTGTTGATACACTTGTTGTTCCCACAACTTTTAAGCAGGCACATGGAAATCCAATTTGGGATCGTGCAATGAAAGATGAATTTGATGCATTAGAAGCCAACCGAACTTGGACTGTTGTTGAGCGCCCGGTTCCTTGCCCTCCTACCATTGGCAGCCGATGGGTGTATGCTATTAAAGTTCGTCCTGATGGATCCGTCGAACGCAACAGAGCAAGACTTGTTGCTCTCGGGTACACCCAGGAGCATGGGGTGGATTACAATGAGACCTTTGCTCCGGTTGCCAAAATGTCTACAGTTAGGACCTTGCTCGCAGTTGCTGCTTTGTATGACTGGCCCCTGCATCAGCTCGACGTAAAGAATGCTTTTCTTCACGCCGACTTGGAGGAGGTCATCTACATGGAACGCCCTCCCGGTTATACTGTTGGTCGAGAAGATCAAGTTTGTCTTCTCCATCGCTCTCTCTATGGTCTGAAACAAGCTCCACGGGCCTGGTTTGAGAAATTTCAAGCCACCATTGTTAGTCTAGGTTTTCGACAGAGTCTTAACGATCCATCTCTCTTCACGAAGGTCACTGCAGCTGGCATTGTTGTTCTTCTGCTTTATGTAGATGATATGGTTATTACAGGCACTGATTCCGCTGGGATTACTCACTTGAAGGATGGGTTGAAACAAGCTTTTAGCATAAAAGATCTCGGCACTCTATCTTATTTCCTAGGTCTGGAGGTCACCCGTAATGATCAAGGTATTCTTCTTAGTCAAAGGAAATATATATCTGATTTGCTTGGAGATCATAATTTTGATGACTGCAAGCCTGTTAAAACCCCTATGGAGATTAATCTGAAGCTGCAGAAAGACTCTGGCACGCGGCTTAAGGATGGTTCTCAGTATCGGAGTATCGTGGGCAACCTCATTTATCTTTCTGCAACTCGCCCAGATATTTCTTACGCCGTCCAGGCGGTTAGTCAGTTCATGACAGAGCCTTGTGTAGATCATTTAGCAGCTGTTCACAGGATTCTGCGCTATTTGCAAGGTACTAAGGATGTTGGCATTCTTTTCCCTTCCACCGGAACGCCCACGATCAGTGCCTTTTCTGACTCAGATTTTGCGGGTTGCATTGATACACGTCGGTCCACTTCCGGGTGGTGTGTTCAGTTTGGTGGATCATTCATATCTTGGCATTGTAAGAAGCAGGACAAAGTTTCCAAGTCATCTACAGAAGCAGAGTACCGTGCCATGTCCGAGGTTGGTTCAGAAATGGTCTGGTTACGTCGTCTTCTCACTGATTTTGGGGTTGTTTGTCCTGAACCCATGGAGCTTCATGTTGACAACACTAGTGCGATCCGTATCGCTGTCAATCCTGTCCTGCACGATCGGACCAAGCATATTGAAATCCATGTCCACTACATTCGTGATCTAGTTCGTGATGGACATCTTCTTCTACATCATCTCCAGACTGAAGAACAAGTTGCTGATCTCTTCACCAAGGCTTTCTCCACTAGTAGGCATTGGTATCTAGGTAACAAATTGATGCTTAGAGATCGGCATCAATTTGGGGGAGGATGTTGAATGATATATGTCTAGGCTACGATTTATGTTGAGCTGTGGGGCCCATTTATTGTAAAGCCCACACGACCATGCAGGTCCATGCACATAGGTTCACGTAGATGTGTGTTGTTTCCTAAACCTAGGTCTCGTCGGGTGTAAATAGGAAGTGAGGTTCTGCCGCTGTAATCATCTGTTCATCACAACTCAGTAAAATCAGTAGCCTGAAGAGCGTTCTAAGCTCTTCCGTGGATTAGTCCTGGATATCCAGGGATACCACGTAAACTCCGGTGTCTGTGTTTGATTCTATTTCCGTATTAGTCTTCATCGGTTTCTGTATCGGTTAATAAGTGGAGGGAAAATGAGAGTGGATTGAGGGAGCGTTGCTGCAAACCCTCCTTATCCCATTATCACCGGCGACAATAGGAGCTTCATCGAGAATGGAGAAAAGTGGAAAGGGTTGACGAGGATGACGACGAGGATGAATGGCGGCAATAACTAGGAATTAGGGATTTTTTTTCCGTTGAATGGAATTAGAGATTTAGTTTTGATAATGAATTAGGGATTTAGTTGTGAGGTGGAAAGCTTAAATAATTAAATTTAATTTTTATTAATATTAATATTTTTAATTAACACGTCATTTATTTAACTGTCAACTAGGAGAGTTGATTGTCATGTCAAATAAAATTAGCAAATGTGAACTTTTTAAGTAATTTCATTAAGCAAATCAATTTACCCTTTATGTTCATTTGCTTTCTCTGTTAACTGATTTGTTACGTTTTTAAACTCTAGTGACCAGTTCATCATATAAAGTAAAGTATAGTGACCATTTGGGAATTTGTCCAATCTTATCCGCTCAACTTCCACCTCCAAGTGTGAACTCGATCCGCAGTTCTTTTGGCGGGAAAATTACTCCATTTTTTCGACCTAATTTGAATCAATCGACATCTTCAGTCCCTGACGCACTGCTGCCTCCGCGTCCGCGAGATTCTGCATTTTCATTTCGCTACAGGTTGCGCGAGGTTCGTTCTCTTGAGATGGAAGGCAGCCAAAGCGAGGCGGTGTTCAGCTCGTTGAATCTTAACCCCCAGATCTTTGTCAACGAAACCCTGAACACCGTCGACGACCTGTTCGACGAAGCCTTCGATTTCTTTCATCAGTCGGTACCTCCTTTTCTGTCTGTTATTTACCTTTCTTCCTCCTCAGCCTTTCCCTCGCCGGTGGTGTGATTTCCTCAACTCTGAACCGCTGCAGAGAAGCGTCGGGCCGTCTGCAAACCGAAGGAACCGAACGGGCCCATCATCTGAAGGAGGTACTTCCCGATTCTTGCTTGAATCAATCGATTTGATTCAACTGTTACCATGGTGGTGGTGAAGTTAGTTTTTTTTTTTCTCTTGGTTTGTTTTTGTTTCTTAGGGCATTAATTCCGTTCGGTACATGGTGCAATCTGGGTTGGATAAGCGACTTGAGATGTGGGAGAAGTATTGCCTTCATCACTGTTTTGCAGTCCCTGAAGGATTCTCCTTACACAACACTGTACTGCCTTTTTCTCTACGCTGCGTCTCTTACTGTTTGTTGATTTCTGTATAGAAATGTCTTCAAGTTTGGTAGTGATAGGTTCAGTGCATATAGAGTGGCCTCTGATACAGTAATTACATTTGTGTTTTGGATTTTTTATGGAGCTGTAAGCTAGATCTAATTACATGTTGCTATGGTTTGGTAGCAGAACTATAGGATACCCTTAGCATGAATGTTTTGTTCATATTAAGTTGGTTATGATTGCAATGCTATTTTGTAAAAGGGTCAAAGAGAAGCTCTTAATCTACGGCACTAGCTCCTCTAAAATTCTTAGCAGTTGGAATGCATTCATTGAAGTGTCTGTCCGGTTGCAGCTTGAGATTGTTGATTTATCTGTTTGCTTGAATCTGTAGTGACATGCTTGGCTTGACACCTTGGCTTTAGAACATGTTATATCGATGCCAATCAAAAGAGCTCACATTTAAAAAAAAAATTCATTCATGCTGCAATGTAAGATAGTATTTTGCCTCCTGATTACCAATGTTATTTTGCCTCCTGATTACAAAATTGCTTTGTTGGCATCTCATTTTCAGAATGAATCTCCAAAACAAAGTTCCACAAGTCAAGATTTGCTTTCAGACCCTGCTCTTGATTCACAATTGGATTCTCTGAGGGAAAGGCTTGCTGAGGTGAGAATTAAAGGTAGCATCTTTCAACATCCATTGGATGTTTATTTGATTTATATTCCTGTCTACCAGTTGCTTGCTACTTCCTCATAAAAAACTCATTTATAGGTGTCACGACAGTCTGTTGAGCTTAATAGGGAGCTTCAAGACTTGGAACGAAAATCTACTGCAACTGATCGGTGTAACGAACTTCTTGCTGAGGTGTTTCAGTCGTATGATAAAAACTCTGCTGATAGTCTGTTTCAAGGTAACTCTCTACTTTTGGTATGATATATCTTTTCAAACTGGCCGACTTGCATACATAGCTCCATTGGCTGTTTCCATACAATTTTCACATGCCAATCTTATGTGCATGCATGAGTACTTTAAAGGATGAATTCACATACTATTTAGAGCATTTTAGATGAAGAAGAAAGTTCATCTCAGTTAATTATGTACCAACGAGTGATCTTCTATAATAATGATCTGAGAAACCATTCGTCAAATGTTTAGGGGAGATAATACTTGTATATGTGACTTACCACTGGTTAAGCCTGTTATATTGAGGGGTAAGGTCTCATGGCAAGGAAAGAAACTCGTTGCTATTACTCACATTCAAACCCCCCTTATTACAGAGATGTTGCAAACTGCATCCGAATTTCGTGGAAAGCTTGAGAATCTTCAGTTTCCCAGGCCAGAGGACACAGGGAGCAGCAAAGTAAAGATTGGCGACATAAGCAGCAATTTGGAAACTCTTGAAGAGTTTCTCGGCAAGCTGAAGGAACTATAAAAGCAGTCGTATGCTCATGAGTCTGCTACAAGGTCAGTATAGTATGCGCTCCTCTATGCTGTCCACGTGAGCCATAACTTGATTGTGTCACTCAATAGATAGAAGTGTAAGAACGTAATTGTATACATTCATGCTTTGACGTACCCTGTTGAACAAGATACTCGAATCCGTCTAAACAGATTTGAAGATTGTTAAGAATTTATTGGGTGAGCTGAAGAATGATTAAAACAAAGATGTATCGGTTCATATATGAGATTTGTTACATGTTAATGAGTACAAGAACTGACACAGGTAATTACCAGAAAAAAAAAAAAAAAAAACTGGGACATTTTATTTAGCGACCAATTACCTTATTGACGACGCTAAAAACAAGAATACTGAATGGGGGGGCCTGGGCCAGGACTTGGATCTGCTTCTATCCTTTATTTATTATAAGGACGGGCTTGAACATAGTGAGAGTCATTTGGGCTTAGGCTTGGGCTTTCTCTTCACTTCAGCGACGATAAATCCTAATGTAACGCGCAGACATGGAGGTGACATACACGTCCAACCCCGACCCCTGGCACTCGCTGATCCTCTCGCTCCCCAAAACCAAATTCACTTCAAACGACGGCGTTTCGCGTACATTCTGTTCCCTTTGCAGCCGCAAACAGATGGACTCCAAATCCGAATCGTCCCTCGCCGCCGACAGCTGGCCCAGGCCCACCCTCCTTCTCCTAGCGGCTATGAAGAGATCACCCGAACCAGCATCCCGCCTGATGTTGTCTGGCTCCACGACGTCGCTTAACACGACCTCCGCCGTGTTGGCCCTGGCCCCCATCAGCCACAATTGGGCCAACTGGCTCCGAGTCGCCTCCGACACCAGCACCACTGAGCCGTCGCCGCTGAGGGTGACGTCGGTGAGGAATCCGAGGTTCCTGAGCAGGACGGTGACATGTCCGGTGCTGACGTCATACTTCATCAGCCTCCCCGTGGCGTCGTTCGCCAGAAGCGCCTGCGTGTAGTTCCGGATCTGGTATCGGGTGCTGCAGTCGGTGAAGTAGATGTCAGGGAAACAGTATGGAAAAGAACGATTGAAGGCGTGATTAGATCACTCTCCTTAGAGTGTTTATTTGCCCCCACTACTTCGTTGCTGGTAGGATTTAGCCAAACCACCCCCAGGAGTCCCTCCAATCAAAGTCAGAAAGCAGCACCTTTTGTGACTTCTGTGTTTGTGTTTTTGGAGAAGGAAAAACAAGGAGAAGAAGAAGATGAACGTTGGAACAGAAATTCGGCTGCAGACTTTTATAGTGAAAACGGCAGTTCCCTTCCGAAGGGTTACGTCATTTCACAAAATTCAAAATCAAATAATTATTCGGATTAATTAATTAAAATAATTTCGGTAATTAATTAGCCAAAAATTCAAATCCGAACGCGTCGCGCAAACGTGCTAAGTGCGTAGTGCGGTTTAATATGTCAAATTAAATAGCCCACACTTTTTCCAAAAGCCCACTAACCACTTTATCCAATAACTAAAGTGGAAAGCAAACTTAAAAACAACTTGCACTTTCCTTCTCCCACCAATGTGGTATTTCCTTTACTCTTTGACTACTTTAACATTCCCCCACTTAGTCAATAAGAGTCGAGAATACCTGCCTCGAACAAGTAACGCATACATAAAGGTATCTTTTCGATTTGAACCTTTACTTAGTGTAAGCATCTCAAAGTTCATAGCGAATCAATGACGGACTTAAACCTAGGAGTCAAGATCCAAAGCTAGAACCGGAGACACCACACACGTACTCGTCTCTTCTCTAAAACACAACCACCAACAAGGGTAGCACTATTATGGCCATGTGCTTATCCTGTTTCATGAGCATATACAAAAGTTGACATTTACTTTCGTTAGAGCGGCACCACTCCAAATGCTCACATAGGTGACATTCCAAATGAACGTCATTAAGAGTTCTATAACTCACCCTTCTTACAACTAATTTACTTGTACAATAAAATAGTTCCCAGTTAGAGTAACTTGTTATTACCACATTGAACCTTAAGGTTGGGTTTCCATTACTTCTAACTATACAAAAGGTCTCAATCCCATCCCTTGGGATGTCTAATAGATCATGCCTCTTGGCAACCCCTTTGTAAGAGGATCTGCCAAATTGTTGCACGACCTTACATACACAATAGAAATGATTCCGTTAGTAATCAAATACCTAACGTAGTCATGTCTTAGGCTAATGTGTCTAGACTTACCATTGTAAATCTTGTTATAAGCTCTAGACAAAGTAGCCTCACTATCACAGAAGAGAGAAATGGCTGGCATCGGTTGTGGCCACAACTCTATATCTAACAACATGTTTCTTAGCCATTCTGCTTCTTTTCCAGCCGCCGCAAGGGCTAGGAATTCGGGTTCCATAGTGGAGTGTGAAATACATGTTTGTTTCTTCGAAGCCCAAGAAACAGCTTTACCACCTAGTGTAAAAATCCATCCTGTTGTGGATTTATTATCACTAGCGCTCATGATCCAACTAGCATCTGAAAATGCTTCTAGTACAACGGGGAAGTTGCTATAGAAGAGTCCCAAATCCTTGGTTCTTTTCAAATAACCAAAGACTCTTCCTATAACTCTCCAATGATCGGCACTAGGATTACTTGTGAATCTAGAAAGTTTGCCCACCGCAAATGCAATATCGGGCCTAGTACATCCCATTGCATACATCAAACTTCCAATAGCACTAGAATACTAAACTTGTGCCACTTCCCTTCCCTCATTCGCACAAAGCTTAAAAGATGCATCATAAGGGGTGTTAGCCTCCTTTATATCCAAATTCTCGAATTTCTTGAGCATCTTCTCGACATAATGTGACTGACTCAAAGCAAAACCCCCACTATGTTTCTTTACTTCGATGCCCAATATAGTATCTACTTCTCCAAGATCTTTCATTTGGAAGCAGGAAGTTAGATACTCTTTGGTCTCATTTATGCCTTTCATGTTAGTTCCTATTATCAACATATCATCAACATAAAGGCATATAATGACCATATACTCTTTTGTGCACTTTGAATAAATGCACTTATCAGCAGAGTTATGAGAAAATCCATGAGCCAAAACAACAGAATCAAATTTCTCATGCCATTGTTTAGGTGCTTGCTTAAGTCCATACAATGACTTTTGCAATTTACACACCTTTCCTTCATTTCCAGGCAACACGAACCCTTCTGGTTGCTCCATATACACTTCTTCATCTAACTCACCATTTAAGAATGCCGTCTTTACATCCATTTGGTGTACATGTAAATTGTAAATAGAAGCCAAGGCTAAAAGCACTCTTATGAAAGTGATTCTTGCAACTGGTGCATAGGTGTCGAAGCAATCTACTCCTTCCTTTTGCCTAAACCCTTTTGCAACCAGTCTAGCTTTGAAGGTATGTATTGATCCATCTGTGTTATACTTAATGCGAAATACCCATTTGCATCCAATAGCCTTAGATCCAGGAGGCAGGTCCACAAGAACCCAAGTCTTATTTATTAATAACGAATCCATCTCATCATTAACAACCTCATTCCAAAAGGCAGAATCTCTAGAAGCCATTGCTTCTTGATAGGTTTTGGGATCGTCTTGCACATGGAACAAAATGGGTATCTTTCCTGTAACCTTATTTAACCTATCTCCCTCTACAAGAAAGACTATTTCTTGAGGATCAATACATTCTGGACCAAAACTCTTTTCCTTTCGAGCCCTTTGACTTCTTCGTGGTTCATTAGCAACAGGGTCATCTAAAGGACTTTTGCTACTAGAACCAATGTCAAAAGCGGGAGCAGAGATAGACTCATTTGAGGAATCTACAGAAGTAACTCGACATGGTTCTACATTTGCAGAATCACGTCGAAACTTGTTTTCAAAGAACTCAACATCTCTCGATTCCACAACCACATTAGATTCTAAATCTAGAACCCTATAGGCTTTTGAGTTTTCTGCATATCCAAGAAAAACACCTTTCAAAGCTCGTGGTCCTAACTTAGTTCTCTTAGGATCTGAGACTCTGTAGAAAGCAAGACAGCCCCAAACTCTAAGATAACTCAAGTTTGGTTTCCTTCCCTTCCACAACTCATAGGGAGATTCCCTTAGCTTCTTAGACGGAATCCTATTGTGTACATGGCAGGCTGTTAGCAAAGCCTCACCCCACAAATTGTTTGGAGCACTAGCATTCATCAACATAGCATTAATCATGTCAGAAAGAACTCCATTTTTTCTTTCTGCTACTCCATATGTTGTGGGGTGTAAGGAGCAGTCCTTTGATGTATTATACCGCGTTGCTCACAAAACTCGTTAAAGTTATTTGGAAAATACTCTCCACCTCTGTCACTTCGAAGGATCTGTATTTTCCTACTCTTTTGAGTTTCAACAACAGATTTATACAACTTAAACTTATCAAAGGCTTCATCCTTGGTTCGCATTAAATAGTCATAGGTAAATCGAGTACTATCATCAATGAAAGTAATGAAGTACCTACATCCTCCTCTAGTTAATTGACCATGAAATTCACAGATATCAGAATGTACTAATTCTAACAATTCTGATTTTCTGTCAACCAACTTAGGAAATGGCTTTCTCTTCATCTTAGCTTGCACACAGATTTCACATTTATCTCCAATATCATCACCACAAACTACTAAACCATTTCTAGACATGTATTTCTGAGTCTTAAAATTAACATGCCCCAATCGATTATGCCATAAATAAAAAGAAGTACTTTCTATACTATAATTTGCATGCACATCAATATAAGCAGAACCATCAACTTTATTATTAATATTACCATTGTCAATACTTAACTTAAACATACCATCACTAACATAGCCCTTCCCAACAAACATCCAGCCTTGGTCAGAATCACCCTATCAGATTCTATCACAACTTTTATCCCCTTCTTACAAAGCATGAAACCAGAAACAAGTTCTTTCTAACATCAGGAACGTGAAGGACATTGGTGAGAACAACTTTCTTTCCCGAGGTGAAGAAAAGCTCCACGGTTCCAGATCCAAGAACCTTGATCGTGCGATGATCACCCAACAGAACCTCATGTCCCTCCGTTGACTATGTGTAGTCCTTGAACATGGCTCTCTTGTTGCAAATGTGAGCAGTTGCCCCCGAATCATACCACCAATCAGCACTGGTCATGACTCCAGCCATGTGCAATTCCTGAATCATACTCACATGTAAGTCAGAAATCATTGCAACAATCTCACTAGGCTCAACTTTCTCAATCACGTTTGCACTTGCAGCCCCTTCGTTTTAGTTCTGGTTCTTCTTTGGATTAGGACAGAAGCGAACAATATGTCCCAATTGCCCACAATTGAAACAATTCTTAGTGGACATAGGGGACGGTTTTTTCTTTTTATTCTTCTGGTTGTTGGTCTGGTTTTTGGAATTATTCATGGCCTTTCTCTTCTTCCTTTCTTGCTCTCCACAACATTCACTTTAGAACTTGATGGTGCCCCCGAATTCAGATCCTTGTCACGGATACGAGTTTCCTCCTCGATCCTAAGGTGCTTCTGAATATGCTCCAAAGTGAACTCCTCTGACGTATGAAGTAATTTCTTCCTATAGTTGTTCCATGATGGAGGCAACTTCGCAATAATTGCCCCCACCAGAAACGCATCAAGAAGTGTTATCTTCAACGCAGTGAACTTAGAGGCCAAGATTAGGAATTCATGAACTTGATCCAGAATTGAACGCTTATCAGTCATGCTAAATTCAAAGAACTGGAATGTGACAAACTTATCTACGCCCTGTTTCTCTGATTTGTACTGGTTCTCCAAAGATGTCCAAATTTCAGTAGGGGTCGCCAACTGGGAATACAGATCGTAGAGACGATCAGATAGTGAATTGAGGATGTATCCTCGGCACAGCAGACTGTCCTCACTCCTCTTCTTGCGCTCAACCTTCAATTCACCAGAGTCAGTGTCTTGTGGTTCTTCTAGCGGCACCAAATCAGGATCCAGTATGTACACGATCTTCAAAGCAGTCAACAGAAATTTCATCTTCTCTTGCCAGCGGGTGAAATTGGTTCCATCAAACCGATTGAGTTTGTTGGAATCAGAGGCATACGCCTTCAAAGTGCTCTCCACTCCAGAATCCATTGTCACTCAAAAATAAACAATCTAAGATTGTCAGGGAAACAGTATGGAAGAGAACGATTGAAGGCGTGATTAGATCACTCTCCTTAGAGTGTTTATTTGCCCCCACTACTTCGTTGCTGGTAGGATTTAGGCAAACCACCCCCAGGAGTCCCTCCAATCAAAGTCAGAAAGCAGCACCTTTCGTGACTTCTGTGTTTGTGTTTTTGGAGAAGGAAAAACAAGGAGAAGAAGAAGATGAACGTTGGAACAGAAATTCGGCTGCAGACTTTTATAGTGAAAACGACAGTTCCCTTCCGAAGGGTTACGTCGTTTCACAAAATTCAAAATCAAATAATTATCCGGATTAATTAATTAAAATAATTCCGGTAATTAATTAGCCAAAAATTCAAATCCGAACTCGTCGCACATACGTGCTAAGTGCGTAGTGCGATTTAATATGTCAAATTAAATAGCCCACACTTTTTCCAAAAGCCCACTAACCACTTTATCCAATAACTAAAGTGGAAAGCAAACTTAAAAACAACTTGCACTTTCCTTCTCCCACCAATGTGGTATTTCCTTTACTCTTTGACTACTCTAACAGTAGATGTTTCCGCTGAGTGGATCGACGTCCACTGCGTTTGTGGCGACGAAGGGAACGCCTTCTGCGGCGGTGGCGAGCGGCTTGGCCAGCCTGCCGTCGGGCCCCGACGTCAGGAGGCCTAGGTAGGCGTCGGCTATGATGAGCTGTCTGGTCAGTGGGTTGTAGGCCAGACCCAATGGGTAGCCGCAAACCGGACCCATGTCAGGGTCGGTTGTGTTGTCGCAAACCGCCCGAGACCTAAAACACATACGACATTGTAATCAACTACAATGTATCTTCTCAGATATTTTTACCATGTATCTTCTCAGATATTTTCCCTATTAAAAGAACATTTGAAAAGAAAAAAAATAACCTAATTAGGGTTTGGACAACCACTTTCCCTTCCCCTTGTTTAACTAATTAGTAAAATATTTATCATAATATTGTAAGTACGAAAGAATTAACATCATTATTAACAAATTAATTGATTAATGAATATATTTGTACCAAACCAATGACATTAAAATTCTTATTGGAGTTCACTTATTCTTAGTTTTCAATCATGCTTAGTAGACGATGTCGGAATACTACTTTGAGTTAAACTACCTAGACACAACATGAAAAACAAGAGCCAAACTTCATGAGCTCTATCCCTTCCTCATAAATTATTTTGAGTTACGCATTAAATAACAATTTAAATGATGATTTTGGAACATTAATCTTGAAAATTATCACTTTAAATGTTATATGTCTTTGTGTTATTAATGATTTACCTTATTAATATTATTATATGTTAATTTCTATGTGGTACTTAAAATTCTACGATTCGATTTTACGATTCCGATTTTATCCGTGTTTTCGATTTTAGATAAAATTCCAATTTTGACTGCTTTGGTTGTACCATAAATGAATTTGTACAAAAGAGTATAGGTACAATTTGAAGTTGTACCATAACGTTACTCAAAGTTACAACTTCAAATTGTACCATAAAAGCAAAAACCTATAGCACCAATGTTATATAACATTGTAAAATTCCTCATCTAGAAATATACCATAATTCATCGTAATGAAAGAACTAATTGATGATTAAATTTGTATGATATTGATTCGTGGTAGATAAAATCTGAACAAAGTAGGTAATTGTTTCGGTATTAGTTAGTTTCAAAATTTGGGGCAAACATGAAACAACTGGTGGATTACTTTTCTTTCTATAAGAAAAATATGCGGCTAGAGAACATCCGAACATGTAGGTGACTAGCTACCTCATTGGATTAGTGAATGCAAATTCAAGCCAACCGGCGATTGGGCCGCGGTACTGTAAGATCTGACCATCCCTGACACCAGTGTATAATACCGGACTGCCGGGAATCTCAAAGGCGATGGACTCACCGCCTACTTTTCCCGGTGGAAGGTTCAGCTGCCTGAACGACTGAGACACGACAAGAGAAGGATACAACAAAATCGCAAATATTAACAAAGAAATAGCTACGATAACACCCACTGCAACCGCCATTTTTTTTGTTGTTGTGAGGATCGGAGAAGAAAAATAGTTGAAGAGATCGATTTAGAGAGATGCGGGCACTTTAATTTGCAATGCAGTAGCTAGTGTTCCTGCTTGTGAAGCGCTCTGCTTTCAACTCACACATGAACTTATAGGCTCACAAAAGTATGGAGAAACTAGTTATGAATTCATCATCAAGAGAAGAGAAGGGCCATACTGCTTCATTGCGGCTCACAAACCGTTTGGCCCCCCAAAAATAGGGAATTGGTTATGGAAAGTCGGTATGGGGAAGACGATCGATACAGTTAGAGCTAGCTAATAAGTTGTATAATCAATCGTCAACTCGGAGCGGAGGCCCATTAATTGATTATGAGCCGCCACACCCACACCAACATTCTGTATCTGTATAGCTATTAGCTAGCCTGGCCGCATCAAACAAAGTAGACCATCTGGTTGAACAGTAAGCTAAAGCCGCCCTCGATCGATATTCCCCAACAACCAAAATATTGTAGATGCTATATATCACCAAAATGAACGTCCTCATCGATCATTTCCACAAAAACTAAACAATCTCCGTCAACCTTCTATTTTAGCCGGTTACAGCGACATCCAAAATGATGGCATATTTCCGTCGCGTTGAATGATAATTTAATTTCCCCCACTCATTTGGGGGTATCTGCCTGCCTTTTTTAGTGATGTGCACATGCATGCTAGCTATTATACTCGGCAAAAAAAAAAATTCTTCCGCAAATTCTGTGGTCAAAGTTTGGTTAGTGCACGATTCTCAATTTTGGTATTATTTGGATGAGCCGTTTAGGGTTCAGGCCAGCTCACACTAAAAAAAATGTCTATGGCAAGGGTTATTTTTCTTCGTAGCAAGGGTTTTAACCCCTGCTACAGGATGTAGCAAGGGTTTATCCAACTCTTGGACGGACCCTTGGCAAAGCCGCCCCTGCTACGTGTAGCAAGGGTTATAAGCGACCCTTGGTGCAAGTCCCCTGCAGCGGTTGTAGCAAGGGTTTAAACCCCTTGCTACACGTATGTGGAAAATTCAAGCATGTGTTGCTCGTACCAGCGGTTATAATCCTTGCATAATTCGTTCCTACATCTAGCAAGGGTTACGACCCTTGCTACAGGCCTTTGTAACTTTATGTAAAATTGCTGAAGATACGCTACTTGCAAGGGTTAAAACCCTTGCACAGTTTGTGACTAAAGCTAAAAAACATTTGTGTCGAAATCAAAATGGTCGCTAAAAGTCGTCACTAAAGAGAGGCAACAAAATTCGTGGCAAAAGCTTGGTTGCAATACCCTGGTCATTAAAACAAATCCAAAACCAAGTTTGTTACTAAAACTCATACCATATACCCATCAATCATAACATAATTCGATTCATAATCCAAAATGGTGTTCTTTACATGACTAAATCCTAATCACCATGAACATTCAAACATACTCAGAAGAATCCAAAATGGTTACCAGGAAAAGTTACCACAACGGTGTCGTATGCGAACCCCGACTATCGCAAACACAATTGAAAACTTGCACTCGGATTAACGAAGGAGAAGGGCAAGCAGATAGAAATCATCAACCCAAGTTGGATCGGCAGCTGAAAAGAAAAGATGCAGGTCTTCGTGAAAACTATCACCGGGAAGACGATAACTCTGGAGGTGGAGAGCAGTGACACCGTGGACAACGTCAAGTCCAAGATTCAGGAGAAGGAGGGGATTCCGGCCGACCAGCAGCGCCTAATCTTCGCCGGGAAGCAGCTAGAGGATGGCAGAACTCTGGCCGATTACAACATTCAGAAGGAATCACGCTCCACTTGGTTTCGCCGGAGAAATCAGCGAACGAACAAGAGTCAACAAATAGAAAAGGGAAATAGGGGGTTTGCTCGTATCGGGCTGAAATTTGGTTCAAGTCTTAGCAAGGGTTATGGAACCCTTGGAAAGAAGCTTTGCTACCAAAAAATGTAAAAGAAAAAATGGGAGTTTTCTCGCGTCGATAGAAATTTGGTTTAAGAGTTAGCAAGGGTTAAAGAACCCTTGCAAAAAAACATTGCTATTGAATATTCCAAAAAAATTAGCAAGGGTTATAGAACCCTTGGCATAAGTCATCTTTTTTGTAGTGTCAGTAACCTATATGATTACTCATAGGTACATAACCAATGGTTATCCAATCTGTTCTCGATCGAATCAAATCGATATCATTTGGATTGCATGAATTATCTTGATAATACTAAAGGATTATTAGGTCGAGTTAAAATCATGGGAACTTGCTGAGACGAATCATATAAACTTATGACATGATTGTGGCAGCCTAGCTTGTTGAATTTTGGGAGGAACAAAAATACTCCATATGTGTTTATACTAAGGATGGAACACAACACTCAGTATGACGTATTTTGTAACTACATCACAACTCATTACTTGATCATAAATTAACAATAAATTAATTTACTATACTATAAACGAAATTACAATTGGAATTGATCTCTTTTCTTCATATACCTATTCGATTATTTACCCATCAATCTTTAAAGTAGTTTAGTTGCAGTGAGGATTCCACTACTTTTGACGGCAAGTCTACATAAAATATTTTCAGCTTTGATCTATATATCAAGAACGAATTTCGAAGTCGAATTTGTGACCAGTTTGCTAATGATTGTTTAGTGAGATCCATTGAAAAGCACTTACTTAAGAGTGTAGACAGTGAATGTATTTTGTGTTTCTTTCATAATATGAAAACTCGTCATGATTTTTAATTATGAAATACCGATTGTATTAGACGTAATTTTTTATGTATGAAAATAAATTATTTAGATATTATTAATTTAATTATGTTCATTAAATATTTATATATTTATGGTACGAAAAAAAAGGATAGAGGTAATTTCAAATCCTGTCTCGGCGAGTGTGTTATATGGGTATATATTATTTTGGGGTGTTGAGTGTTTAGAATGATTGGGTATATATTTATTGTAAACGTTTGAGTGTTTTAATGTATATATATATATTTACTTTGTTGTTTATGTTTAATTAGAAGAGAGGAAGGATAGTTTTTTTACGAGTATTCTGATGCGTTTTAAGCATAGCAGTGGTAAAGAGGAATAGTGTTATATCGATGCATTATTGAATGGTTGATGGATGGTATTTTGTTGTTGTACCAGTTGGATCCGGTTCTGGACGATAGTGTTTGACGGTGCCCATACGTGGTTGCCAACAATTAAATAGTTGGCAGAATAGTAAAATCAGGTGCATATATATATGGAGTGGAAGCAGCCAACGGGAAAGTGGGACAAAGATCGTGAGAGATATATATGGGACAAAGATCGATCGCAGCGCAAAGCAAAGCACGCCTAATGAGCCGGACAAGAGGCGACACAGAGAAGATGGTGGCCGGCTGCTGGTGATGCCGGTTGCTGGCTCTGCATGTTGGCCGCCTGGGGAGTCGGCCTCACCTGTCTGTCAATTTTTGCAGCAAGGAATTATTTAAATTTTAAACAGCTTCTTCTTAATTAATTTTGTGTTTTGGTTGTATCAACTTCTGCAAGATGGCGCCAACCCAATAGGAACGTAGTAGTGATGAGCACTGATAGCCAAGCTGCAGCCTGCAGCATATATAGCATCTTACTCTTAAGCGTTAAGCAGCCGGCTGATTCTGCTCGCGTACGTACGTAACTCTGCTACCATCCAAACACTGGGGGATCGTTGTCGGCTTGTGTCTTGTCCAACGAACTTGAAATGTAGTTTCTAATTTTTTAAATTAAGTGAAGTATATTGATTGATTGATGACCATGCTCAGAGCAAAGATACCCTTCCAGTTCCATGCAGGATTCGAATATTTGGTTTCATATTGTATTAGTTAAAATAGAGAAAGGGGGCTTCAATGAAACTTTTGCATAGTGCAATTGTTGTTAGGACTAGTTAGATAACTTTTCTGTATTAGGTTTAGGTAGTCAGATCCAACATTAATGGCTTCTCTTGCTCTTTCTCTTTCTTCTCGCCAACACTTCCCAGTCCATATAAATTACGTCGCCGGCGGTCGGCCAACCCTGAAAAAGAAAAACCGTCCTCCTATATATTCCACTAATTTTCTCACTTCCGGCAATGATGCAATGCAATGCAATCCCTTGCACTGGAGTGGAGGATCGCCTATCAACATGTTGATTTCTGATCCATCAAGTTAATTTGGTTTTCTAATAAGCTGGAATGGAAATTAGTGTCATGATAGTGCTGGTCACTATCGCACTTTCTCTAAATACCCGAAATTAATTGATTTGTAAACCATTTTTTATTCATTTCATGGCCTTTTAGTTTAGCTTGAATTTCAGCTTCGCCAATGAATTAGGACCTTTCAACAAGAAGCAGTTAATTATTGGATTCGGTAGTTTGCCACCAGAACCCAAGCTAATAATATAATTCATGGGATATATAGGAGACTTGAGTAGTTTGATGAGTAATTGCAATATATTAATCTCACCTAATAGTCTTGTTTTGAAACAATAAGATCAAAATGAACCCTTAGTTAACCAGTCCACGATGCCAATGCCACAGCCCCCGCCATCACCTAGCTAAGTTACACAATTAGCGGTGTATTACCACCCGACAAAATACTTGTTCACTATTGATATCATGATAATGCTGTATCCTAATTGCACTTCCTCAAAACCCCAAATTTCAATATATTTGTAAACCATTTTTTTATTTACGGACTTTTTAGTTGAATTTTAATTAGCTTAATTTGCTAATAAAGTATACGTACGTACCTCTTTTTTTATAAGGAAGTATACGTCTTTAACCAGAAGTATTATTTGTTGGATTCCGTAGCTTGCGCGGACAAAACAGAAGGCACCAAACGGCCGCCTGGGGAATTCATCCTGACACTCGAGTAGTAAACAACAGGACTGTAGCACGAATATTATGGCCCGCAGGCAGGCATGCATGCATATAAAAAAAGAAGAAAAAAATACATTTGCACAATATATATAATCAATTTGCTAGCTTGCTTTGGTTTGCTTCTTAATTTACTTTCCCTTTGTACTTCGTTCCCCGGCCCTTCTTCCCTGTTTCCCAAGCAAATTGATTCACCCTCATGGCCTCATCCACAATAACAATATTCCTAGGTACTTGAACCCAGAACCAGCCAAACCCAACCTAATAATTCATGGGATAGGATAGGATAGGATAGGGTAGAGGCATCAAAGTTGTCAACCTGGTTTCATCCCTTGGCCGGGTCGATCAAGTGGCTGAAACTGTCAAGAACCAGTTGATCCCAATAATTCGAGTTGTTTGGAGAAGGTTATGCTGGATCTTATACAGGTCCGTGTGTGGTGCTTAACCACTTCCTTACACGCCCCCTCAAATGAAAGCCGACTCATGGGCTTGAAGTTTTCACAGGCCCACCATACCATGTGCTTGAAAGACAACGGTTAATATTGGGGTCGTGAGGACTTGAACACGTGACCTCACGGACAAACCAGCTCTGATACCATGTCAAGAACCAGTTGATCCCAATAACTCGAGTTTTACATGGTATCAGAGCTGGTCTAAGAATCAGGTTCGGAAATCATGAGTTCAGACGACGAGAAAGCTTCAGAGAAGACGTCGTCTTTCAAGATGGTTCAATCTAGCGCTCTGGTCGCGCTGCCACCCCATCTCGTGTTACACCAATCAGATAACCCTAGTAGTTTGTTTGTGGGGGAGCTTCTCAACGACGTTAATTACGGTGAATGGATCGTCGACATCACCGACTCTCTTATCGCAAAGAACAAGCTATGCTTTGTTGATGGAACTCTCCCGGAACCTCAATCTGCCGCGGAGAAGGAAGCCTTGAGGCAGTGTAATGCCATGGTGAAAGGCTGGTTGAAGACCTCCATGACGAAGGAGGTGCGAAGCAGCGTGAGATTCGCGACCACAGCGCGCGAGATTTGGGTCGACCTGCAATCTCGCTTCGGCCAAGGTTGTGCGTCGCGTCTGTACGAGCTCAAGCGCACCATCATCGGACTCCAACAGGAGAAATCCTCTGTATCGTCATTCTACACCAAGCTACGCGGGCATTGGGATGAAGTTCAGTCGCTCACTCCTTCCCTTGAGTGTACTTGCTCGGGTTGTCATTGCGACGTGAAGAAGAGATACTGTGATAAGCTTCATAAACATATATGTATTTGTGCATAAATGATTGATCTTTATGTATGTATGTGTTTAAATTGCTCTAAATTAGTTCATATTGACCATGGAATGGCCCAAGTGTCTTGTTTTGTGGGATTAAATCTGCAGAAAATGGATTTAAAAGGGGCAGCAACTAGGAGACTTGGGAGACACTTTGGAGACTAGTTTTAGACAGAAAAATCAAAGGAGAGAGCTCACTTTGGCACACTTTGGAGTTGAGCATTTTGAAGAAAGGAAGACTCTTATAAGTTGGGGATTAACTCCAACACTTAGTACTTTCTCTACTCCTTTGTTTTTGGTAGTTAGTCATCATGTTGAACATTAGCATGTTTATGTACTTTCTTTTCATCATGAACTAATCCCTCAATTTTTGGGGGAAACTTATGGATTTCATTATCTAGCATCGATGTTTTAATCATGACTTGTTTTTCTTCCATTTTCTATCGTGTGGAATTGTTTAACGCTTTGTGTTGATTGGCCACCTTCACAATGATTTGTAGTTTTCTAGGTTAATAACGATAGTGAAAACCTAGTAACCGAACACATTTCACACGACACAATTGCCTATCGAAGCGATAGTGGATTAAATAGGGAATTATGCAGTCATTTCAGGGATATCGTTCTTAAGGCTAATTAATTAATTCAGTTAACTACGATAGTAGAAATTGTCTTAATTAGTTAGTACGTGGTAATTCTCGATAGAGATAGCTATCAAATTATAGGTATCCCGATTGTAGAAATATGGATCAAATCGATTGACAAGGGTAATTAAATTTACTGAGCTAAAATAGTAAAATCTTGTGTTTCCCCCGGAACTCTACAATATCAATTTCTCCAAAATATTTGATTTATCGAGTTACTTAATTTGTGCGATCTTTGCAAATCATCACTTGATTACAACCTTTGCAATTCCTATAGTTTCTTGAACTAAATTTGTTAATTATTGAGTTTCACCAATCCCCTAGAGAACGATAATTTTACTTACACTTTATTACTTGTGCGACACTGTGCACTTGCAGTTTTGTCGCCACCAAGTTTTTGGCGCCGTTGCCGGGGATTGTCAAAAATTCAGTTTTAATAAATTTTTGTTTGAGTGAACTATTTTGATTTGTGTTTTAGTGTGCAGGAAAAGTTCAGAATATTTCTTCTTGGCGTATGCGAAGAAGGGAGACTAAAGAGTTGTTGCCGCTAAATCACGAAATCGAGAAGGCGTGTAAGTACAACCGGAAGCAGGCGAGGGTAGGAAAAATTGTCCAATCTAAATCAGCACCTACCTCTCGGAAAGGCCATCAAGACGAAGGGAAGGGTTTCATCTCTTCACTTATAGGCAAAATGGAGGAGGGAGCTACCCAAGGCCACAACAACAATCAACACCGTGAAGGGAGGAATGACCCACCTGAAGATCGAACCATCCGAGGCAAGCTGAATCGAAGAACTGGATCCCGAGCTTCAGGGGTCGTCATTCCAACCGGCAACACCAATCTCGACATCACACCATCCTTCATCAACATGATCACAAATGGCTACACATTCTCTGGAGCAAGTACAGAAGATCCTCATGACCATTTGAGGAGATTTTGTAGCATTTGTGATACTATGAAGAATCCTGGCGTGTCCGATGATGCAATCCGGCTGCGTATGTTTTCATTCTCATTAATAGGTCGAGCGGCTCATTGGTTCCAAAACCTGACGCCTCGATCTATCACCACGTGGGCTAGCTGGAGAAGGCATTTCTTGACAAATATTTTCCACCCGCTAAAGCCATGAAAGCCCAAAAGGAGATTGTAGACTTTGTACAAGCCGAGGATGAAAGCCTAAATGAAGCTTGGGAGCGATACAAAGAGCTTTTGCTGAAGTGCCCAAGCCACGGCCTCGAGGAGTGGAATGTGATCACCATCTTCTTTGATGGGATTAGAAGAGAGTTCAGGCAAGCTTTGAACACGGCATCCGGTGGAGGATTTACTTCTATGGAGCCCGGAGCCGCCTATGACCTCATAGAGAACATGTGCTCCGATGCTAATGAATGGGGTGGAGAAAAGAGCCCACGAAGGAGAGGTGGTATGCATGAAGTCGACAAATTCACCGGCTTAGAAGCACGAATCGAAGCCAAGTTGGATGCCAAATTCGATGCACTTGAACGGAGAGAGGCCAACCTCTCTCTCGTTTCCGCTGACCAAACTATTTCTTGTGAGTTGTGTGCAGGTGCTCATCATCGAGAATAATGCCCCATAGGAGCTGCCCAATTGGAGGAAGTTCAATTTATCAATAATCAAAGAAACCAAGGCGGTGCCTACTTATGCTAAATTCTTGAAGGAGTTACTTATGCCAAACTTCAAAAAGTTCCTAAATCTCTTCAAACAACTCCACATCAACATACCTTTGGCGAAGGCATTGGAACAAATGCCTACCTATGCTAAATTCTTGAAGGAGTTACTTACAAAGAAGCGCAAGTGGTCCGATATTGAGAAGGTAACCCTCACCTCTGAGTGTAGTGCAGTGATTCAAAATAAAATACCGGAGAAAAGAGACGATCCGGGGAGCTTCACCATTCCTTGCACCATTGGAGATAAGGATTTCACTAAATCCCTTTGTGATCTTGGAGCGGGGATCAACTTGATGCCTTACTCAGTTTACAACAAATTGGGGTTGAGAGATGTGATTAAAACAACACGGATCACCCTCCAATTGGCGGACAGATCAGTGAAGATTCCAAAGGGTGTGGTGGAGAATGTCCTAG